TCCCTGCTGCTGGAGGGGCTGCCCGGAATCCCCCAGCCTCACCGCCTGCCCCTGGCTGGGACCACCTTTCACCTGCGACAGGGGCCAGACCAGGCCCAGAGCCTAGAAGCCCTGGGACCCATTAATGCCTCTCTCATCGTCATGGTAACATTGGGGCGGGGTGGGGGGGTACAGGTGCAGGAGAACATTAGCATCTTTTGGGGATGGAGACTCCACGAGATCCCTCCATCGGCTGCTCCCTGTGCCCCCAGGTGCTGGCCCGAACAGAGCTGCCTGCCCTCCGCTACCGCTTCAATGCACCCATCACCCGGGACGCCCTGCCCCCCTACTCCTGGCACTACACACCCTGGACCAAATGCTCAGCCCAGTGTGCAGGCGGTGAGGCCAGGGTGGGCCGGGGGGAGTGCGAGGCACCCAGCCTGCCGTCCTCTGACGGGGCTGAGCGGGACTCTCCCCTCCCCCAGGCAGCCAGGTGCAGGTGGTGGAGTGTCGCAACCAGCTGGACAGCTCGGCCGTAGCCCCTCACCACTGCAGTGCCCACAGCAAACTGCCCAAGAGGCAGCGTGCCTGCAACACAGAGCCGTGCCCACCAGAGTGAGTGTCCACCTGGAGGCGGGGTGGCCTGGGGTGGGGCAGGGTGCTCCCTGGGGTCAGGAGGAATGCTTCCAAGGGGGTGGGGAGCAGGTCTATGCAGGACTGCAGTGACAGTGGACCCAAGGTCAAGGTCATGGTGCTCCTTAAGGTGAGGGCTAAAGCTGGATGGTTCTGGGGTCAGGACGATCATGCTGCACAGCCAGGGTAACAGTCTGGGGAATCAGGATGATGCATCTCCCTGCCCTCAGTCGGGTGCCCAGTGATGCGATGCTCTCTCTAAGTGCATCTGGAGCACTTTGCCCCTGCCCTGCCCCATTCTGTAAGATGCTCACTGGCAGGACTGGCATCGGCTAGAACACGAGCTCCAGGGTTGGGGCCCCCTGCCCCAAATACTTGCTCAGGCCCCTCCTGCATCCCAACAGTTGGGTGGTGGGAAACTGGTCGCGCTGCAGCCGCAGCTGTGACGCGGGAGTGCGCAGCCGCTCCGTCGTGTGCCAGCGCCGCATGTCGGCCGCCGAAGAGAAGGCGCTGGACGACAGCGCGTGCCCGCAGCCCCGGCCACCGGTGCTGGAAGCCTGCCATGGCCCCGCCTGCCCTCCCGAGTGGGCCGCCCTGGACTGGTCTGAGGTCAGCTGCCCCTTCCCACCCGCCCGCACCCAGTCCGCTTCCAGTCAGAGAGCGGGCAGGTCCTGGGATGCCTGTGGGTGGGGCTCATTGAGGCCCCTGCTCCGTGGCCCGGTACCCTAGGGGGCCACCCTCGACTGGCTCAGTTACCTGTCCACTCCACTCCTCCCACTGGGTCAGCCCCCTGCCCACCCGCTGAGCATAAAAATCTCCAACTACAGTGCACCCCAAGCTGCGGGCCCGGACTTCGTCACCGCGTGGTCCTTTGCAAGAGCGCTGACCAGCGGGCCACGCTGCCCCCCACGCACTGCCCGCCCGCAGCTAAGCCGCCGGCCACCATGCGCTGCAACCTGCGCCGCTGTCCCCCAGCCCGCTGGGTAGCGAGTGAGTGGAGCGAGGTAGGTGGGCACGCCCTAGGGGACTCGGGAGAGGGCAGGGCCCAGGGGCGTTGGCTCAGCGGCACCTCTCCCCAGTGCTCCGCGCAGTGTGGCCTCGGCCAGCAGCAGCGCGCCGTGCACTGCACCAGCCACACCGGCCAGCCGTCCCGCGAGTGCACCGAGGCCCTGCGGCCCCCCACCACACAGCAGTGTGAGACTAAGTGCGACAGTACGCCACCTGGGGACGGCCCGGAAGGTATGTGGGCACAGGAGAAAGCCAAGGGGGTCCTGACAATTAGTCGCAGAGCTCCTGGAGCCCCTGAAATGCTCTCCTCTGTCGCTGCCAGGCCATCTGTCATTGTGCCCACCCTGCAAACACTTATTAGGTGTCACTGTGCTGAGCATTTTAGGCATTGACCCTCTGAGCACTCAGACTCAGCTCCTCCCCACACTCAGCCCGTGAGCTTTACCCTGTTCATTTCCACCTGTTCTCTCATTCACCTTGTATTTTTCCTTTAAATCAGAGTTTCGCAGTCTCAGGCACTATTGATGCGTTGGGCCAGGTGATTCTGTCCCGTGCTCTGTAGGATGTCTGCAGCGTCCCGACCTCTCTCACTAGAGGCTAGTAACACCCCCTCTCCCCAATAATGACAAGGAAAAATATCTCCAGATATTGCCTACTGCGGAGGAGGGGACAAATTCTCCTCTCCTTGAGAATACTGCTGTTATACCACAACTCTGTGTGTGTGTGTGTGTGTATGTATGTATGTATGTGTGTGTGTGAATGGAGATGGGAGGTCTCACTATGTTACCCGGGTTGGTCTTGAACTCCTAGACTCAAGTGATCCTGCCTCAGCCTCCTGAGTAGCTGGAACTACAGGCAGGTGCCACTGACCCAGCTGTAAATCATGTTTGTTTTTGTTTGCTTGTTTGCTTCTGCAGTACTAGAAGTTGCACACAGGGCCTTGAGCATGCTAGGCATGCCTTCTACCACTGAGCCACACCCCCAGCTCTTTTTAAATTTTGAGACAGGGTCTCAGTAAGTTGCCTAAGCTGGCCTCAAACTTGTGATCCTCCTGCCTCAGCCTTCCAACTAGCTGAGATTACAGGTGTACGTCACCGCACCAGTTTACACACATTTTTGATAGACAGCAATAGATTTCTTATTCCAGGCACTGGAGCCAAACTACAGAGGTTTGCCTCATACCACTGTGCCTCCATTTCCTTATCTGTCAAGGGGTATGAATGATGTCTTCACTTGGGCGGGGTACCTCATTAGGGAGATGGAACAAAATGATCAATGTGAAGCCCTTTATTAGGACAGGACCCTGCTGTGCTTCACTGGCTGCTCTCCCATGTCATGAAGAGAGATTGTTGAATACCATGAACATAAAATACACAAATGCCTGGAACTGTGGCCCAAGTTTATTAAACTTGGGAAAGGAGTGAGCATTGTAAACAGTTATTCTCTTCTGGGTGGCATCAAAAAGATAACTGAATAGGAAATACTTTTCTGGCTAATGATGTATCCAAATCAGCCCCAACCCTTGCACACTCTAAATCCTCAAAACAGCCTAATGACATACGTACTCTTATAAGCCCCTTTTGACAACTGCAGAAACTGAGACATACAGAGGCAAAGTCAGTGACCAGAACCCACAGTCCAGACAGTGTATGCACCCCTGCTGGGAGGGACACTAAGACCTGATTTCTCCTTTTCTCTCCCCTCAACCCCGCCCCCAGAGTGCAAGGATGTGAACAAAGTCGCCTACTGCCCCCTGGTGCTCAAATTTCAGTTCTGCAGCCGAGCCTACTTCCGCCAGATGTGCTGCAAAACCTGCCAGGGCCGCTAGGGGGCGCGCGGCACCTGAAGCCACACCTGAGTGCAGGCTGAGGGGGGTCTGGGCCAGAGAGGGCCGGAGGGGGCGGGAGCTGGGAGGGAAGGGTGAGATGGAGCTGGAAGTTATTTATTGGGAACCCCTGCAGGGCCCCTGGCTGGGCGATGGAGAGGGGCTAGCTACTCCCAGCCCCTCACGTAGTTCATACTGAGACCTCCTCCAGGGTGGGTCTGGGAAGGGGACAAAGGTCACCCCAGGGCCCTTTGCACTCACCCTCGTGGAGTCCCCAATGCTCTCCCACCCTTTGATGGGAATATGTACTGTGAAGAGTGGAGGTGGGGAGGGGGTCTTCGGGTGCCCTGCCCCCCAGCGCTGGCCTTCCTGTCCACTCCGAGCTGGGGGGAATCTGTGTCTACTATGGGGGAGGAGTTCAGCACCATCTCCTTGATCCCCTCCCCGTGAACTGACCCCAGGGGAATATCCACCCCATCCTCTGCTCTGCCTGCCCTGTGGGGACCCCAACATCCAGGCCACCCTCTTCATGGTGCTACAAGCCCTACCCTGGGGCCCACACACTCCTCACCAGGAAGCCCCACATAATAAAGTTCTGTCTTGTGTAAATTTCCGTGCATTCCTAGATGTGTCCCGGCCAGTGCCTGCCCAGGACCAGAAGAGGTCACAGTTCTTCAGGGTCATCCACAATGAAGTTAGGGGACTTTTACCAACACAAACAAAAGCCCAGAATTCTAGGACAGAAGGACAGCTTCTCGTGGGGGTTCCCAAGGTCACACCCTGACAACCCCAACAACGTAGGGTCCTCCTGCCTGTGGACCCATCAAGTTGCCCCAATTCCTGGAACTTGCTCAGGAGGTTCAAGGAGAGACAGGCTCCTTCCCAAATGTGGACACTAGGGGACACCCCTGTGGACACCTAGGAGGGTGCATCAAAGGCCAAAGATGGGTTTGAACACAGGTCGCTGCCCCCTCAGCCACCCCCTTGCTGGATGAGGTGGGGAGGAGATAACCCCTCGGGATTGTTATTTCCTCTAGTAACAAGAGGCCAGGGTGTGGTGGTCTGCTGATTTTCCAGAGACCAAAGCCTGGGTCCAGGCACTGCCAAGAGAAGATGCCCCATTTTACAAGAGCAAGATGGGAAATCAAGTCCAGGAAGTGGCAGGGCCGGGGGCTGCAGGTCCAGATCTCACACCCAAAGTTGGAGGCTTTTCAGGACACCTGGCCCCGCAGACCGTCCACCCCCACTGCCCCTCCATGACAAAGCCGCATGGGCCCCTAGGGCTGTACGCAGGGAAGACCAGCAGAGGCTGATCTGGAAGAGAGTTTATCAGAGCAGGCGCATCTAACATGGCCCTTTCCCTAGTTTTCAAAGGAGATGAGTAATCCAGATGCTTCCAGGATCACCCTGCAAAGGGTGGTCAGCCCTGCGGCCAGCAGACCTGAATGTGGCCCCTGTCCTTGAGATGGAGAAGCCCCCTGTCTGGGGTCTGGCAGTGGCTGTCCGCGATCTTGGAGGTGCAGAGGCTCTGGCAGCCGGCTCCCCCAGCTCTGCTCTAGAGCCGCTGTCTCCCCGCCCTTGGGGCCCAGCTTCCCTCCCCCAGGGCCACGGCCCCTCCCGTCAAAGGAAGTGAGAGGGGCTGTTGTAAGAGGAACCGAGGGCCAGGAGCCGGTGAGGAAGGGAGCAGGGCCATGCCCAAGCCGCCCCCAAGAGCCCTCTGAGCCTGTGCCCCTGCCACAGCCCTTCCGGTGACCCCCCAGGAGCCGGACGCCAACCCCACCATGGTAAGTCCTCCAAGGGTGGGCTCTGGAAGTGTAGGGGTGGGGACAGCAGCCAGGTGGAGGTGCCACGGAGATCGGCCTCGGAAGGTGAGGAATGAGGAGGACAGTGGCCGGCCCTTTGGGGTCCCTCAGTGCAGGTCAAGGGACCCCAGACCCTTACCAGGCACAGGTTCCCATCTGACGATGCCAGGCTGGCTCTTGGGACCCATGGAACAGCAACAGGAGGAGAAGGTGTCCCAAGGGAATCAGAGTGCAGGGACAGGGACCTGGTCCCTTCCTGGGGGACGTCCGGGGAAGCCAGTGCTTAGCTCAGCTCTCATCTCCCCCTGTGGCCCTGGACGTGTCCCCTCCTCTCTCCTGGCCTCGGTGCACACAGCTGTCATCTCTGGAGGGCTGGCTGTGAACGAGGTTCTTCAGGAGCGTTTCGGTGGGGACATTCAGAGGGCCTGTGGGTCTGGCCGTCTGAGTCCACCAATGGGGGGAGAAGCTGTGTCTCATGGGCCGGGGGGGGGGGGGGGGGGTAGTGACAGTGTGGCTGTGCGGGTGGCGGGTGGTTTGGCTGTAGTGTCTACAGAGGAAAAGGTGGGGAGATGGTCACAGTGTTAGTGTCCTCGCTCGGAGCCACCCGCAGAGGATGGCCACAGAGACCCCTGCAGACAGCCTGCGCGCCGAGGTCAGGTGTGTTGGAGCGGTGACCCGAGGCCTTCCGGTCCAGCCCCAGCAGCCCCGCAACACCCAGCAAGAGGGAGCGCGCTGGCTCCACGGGCCTCCCCAGGTCCCAGCCCCAGACCTCCTCAGGCCACTTCAGCTTTCGGTTTTTGTCATTCTGTCAACGAGAATGCAGAATGCGGGGCAGGGTTCTCGGTGGTTGCAGAAAACAGCTGGGCAGGGCGAGGCAGAGGTGGCGCGCGGGGCAGGAGCCGGCTAGCCTGAGACCCTCCTGGGAGAGCAGGGGCGCGCCGGGCATCACGGGCTCCGCGGCCCACAGCCAGGCCTTGGGACAGAGACGCTTCCAACGCAGCCGAGCCCGGGGCCGAGGAGCCCTGGTGGGCACTTGGCTCAGAAGAACACGGGAAGCGACTTGCTCCTTGGGAGATAGGACGGGGCCGAGTGGGAGGGGAGGACAAGCAGGAGAGGTGGAGGAGGCCACCATGGGAACGCCACCTCTGCCTGTGGGGCTGGACTTCCTGCAGGGACACAGGACTCTGTTCAGAAGGTCTGTGACAGAGCACACGGTGTGCGCCCAGGACACAGTGGCCATTCCGGGGCGGGGCTCAGGTGCTTCTGGAGTCAGCCCCGGGAAGGGTGCGGGCGACCCTGGTCACTAGGGAGGAGTGGTCACCGTCGGCTGCAATGGCGGCTGTTGCTATGGTGCTAACGGTGGCTCTTGTCTCTGAAGTGATGACAGGGGGTTAAGACTGGTCCCTGGACTTTTCCGATGGACGTCTTGGTGAGCCCTGGTGATGGATGAACCGACGCGGTCTGGTTGCTGTTATTGGAGCTGGGTGGCTTGGGGTGTTCTTTGCTGTTTGTAGCTCGTTGCTGGGTTTGGGGGTTTGGGTGGTTTTTTGGTTTGCCTGCTTTGTCATGGTGCTGGGGTGTGACCGCACCCCGCACTGAGCGCCACCCCCAGGCCGCACTGGTTTCTGGTGAGGGTGCTCCCACTGGTGAGGGGGCTCCGAGTGGGCCCTGGCGGGTCAGTGCTGCATCACGGCGTCGCTGAGGTGGCCGGCTGGGCGGCTGCTGGCCAGCAGTGTTGCTGCTGGTGGGTGGTTCCTGGGCTGGTGGGTGGTGATGGGGGCGGCGCAGAGGAGGATGGAACAGGTCCCTCCTGTTTCTGCTTGACTCTGGCTGGTGCCGGCACCGCTGTCATTAGCAGTTTCTGTTTGACTGACTGTGGGCTGCGGGGAGGAGGCGGCAGCTGGCTGGCACTGGTGGTGACAGGAGGCTGATCGTGGTTGTTTTAAAGGGACAGACAGAAAGCACAGAGACCAGTGATGTGGCTGCCTGGTCTAGGGCCACTGGCTGTGGAGATGGACAGGAGAGACTGGAGCTGAGAGGGACCATAGGTGAAAGTCATGAAGACGAGCCCAGCTGTGGGGCGGGGGGGGGGGGGGGGCGGGATGGCAAGAGCCAGGGCCAGGGAGGTGTTTGCTGGGCCTGGGCCCCACCCGAAGGCTCTTCTCCAGTGAGCAAGAGGGTGAGACCAGAGCTCCCCAGCTCCAGCCTCCGTGTGGGGTGTCAAGTCCCCTGACCCTGGACCGTCTCCAGCAACCAGACAGAGAGCCCCGCTCCAAAAAGACGGGGATCCCTACCTGTGGGATAATGGCTCTGGCTGGACCAAAAGGAAACAGACCCTCTGCTTCCCCAAGCGGGAGGGCAACCCTGGGAGCCTTTGGAGACAAGGATGCTGTTTGCACAGCGTGGGATACAGAGCGTGGCCCCAGAGCCCACGGGGCGGGGGAGGCAGACCAAGGCTCCAAGGGCAGCCCCGAGGGACCAGGGGTCTTGGTGCCAGCAGCAGTGCCACCACATCACATCTCCTCCCAGCAGCCACAGCTCGTGGGACCCCCGAGGAAGGAAGTGGTATTCTGTGCTCTCTCCAGACTGGGGCTCTTGCTCCTCCTCACGCAGGAACAGAAAGCTGGGAGCACTTGGGGTGACTGGAACAAGCTCCCTTCCTCATGGCCTTGGGCCTCCAGGGGCCAAGCCCGAGGCTGCTGCAGATGGCAACGGGGAGGCTGGCATGTGTGTGTGACAAACTCTGCCTCGCCACATCTGCACAGCAGCCCTGTGAGGTCTGCGTGCTCCGGGCTCCCATATTCCAGATGGGGAAACTGAGGCAGCTGGCGGTCAGGCGAGCATCTGTGTAACCAGAGCGGATTTCAGCTTGGTCACTCCTGAGACCACGCTGTCAACAGCCATCTTGGCACAGCCCGCCCCTCCTGCCAGGAGGTGAGAGGCCACGGTGGAGGTGGGCACTGACCCACATGTCCTGGGCTGCCCATTCCCCTTAAGGACCCCTGCCCATCCCTTCAGCCTTATTTAGAACTGGACACCCTGCTCGCTCCAAAGAAGCTAGACTCGGGGGTCCCCGACACACACCCCGAGACCTGCCTCCTGCCGGAAGCTCTGCGCCCGCTCCCCTTCCCCAACCCAGGCCCTTTGGGCAATCTCTCCACCTACTCCAAGAGGAGGGTCATCTGCACATGGTCTCAGCTCCCTCGGGCACAGCAGAGTCTCAGGAAGTGTGCTCAGTACAGGGCGGGCGCCCCAGCCCCACAGCAGCCACCACCTTGACCACAAAGAACCCCTCCTCCCTTTCGCACAGGGCAAGTCTGTCCCAGACTACCCCTACCCCTCCTGCCTCTCACCTTGGGGTAGGAAGACCTCTCTGAAGAGCTGAAGGAAGAAGCTACCTTCCCCTTCCCACCCTAGCACCTCCAGCCCCTGATGGTCTTTCACAACAGCCCCAGCAGGTTGAGTCATACTCAGCTTGTGGTCAACTGTGACCACAACCTCTTCGTTACACCCCCACCCCAAGGAAGGGGCTCATGAGTAAACAGTTGAAACTTGACCCATGGTAACTTGGAAGGCACAGAGGGGGGGATGCTTAGAAGACAGGACAGGGAGAAGTCTCTTCCATGGTACTCCATTCATTCATTCAGCAAGTATGTACTGACCAGCTCCTACATCCTAGTCCTCTGGAAGCTCATAAAGGAATCCCTGTGAGAAGAGGGGAGACAGGGCTGAGAGTGAGTTGGTCCTTCCAGAGCCACAACGTGGTGAACTGTCAACCCAGGACTTGAAGACAACCTGTCATGTGCCAAAATCCTTGACTGCCCCTACACACCCACGGACAAAGCCTCCTCTCCCTTCCATGCACGCGGCCTGGGCTTGATGATTGGCTGGAGCTAAGAGTGTCTGGGGGCCAGGCCCTGGGGACAGGATGGAGAGGGAGGGGATGGCAGGCCTGTGAGACACAGAGGCTACTCTGCAGAGCAAGGGAAGAAAGGAGGGACAGGAAGAGGAACCAAGCGCCAAAGGCCACCACAACCAGACGGCCAGTGCACCCAGTCAGACACAGCTGGCCTCAGGCCTCTAGTTCCAGCAAGAGGAAGTGGCCTTGGGTCTCAGCTCAGCCCGAGGGGCCTCACTGCATGAAGAAAGGACCAGCCTGAAAGGGGAAGCCCTGGATACGCCAGTCTGTTCTCACCCCATCTGTCCTCATCTGACTTGAAGCACCAAACCCCGCCAACTCTGACCCAAACTGTCAGACAGTCGGGTATGTTCTCTCTTCCCACGCAGCCACGCTCCTGCTGTGTGATCTCCAGGAGGTTACCTAACCTCTCTGTGTTCTCTGCACAGTTTCCTCTTCTGCAAAATGGACTTGATAATCCTAACAAACTCAGCATGTGTTGAAAGGATGAGATAATTCTCTTTAAAAAGCTTAGGACAGTGCAGAGGTGTGGCTTGCCTAGCAAGCATGAGGTCCTAGGCTTAAAGCCTGGCCCAAGAAAACACAAACTTAGACTAGAGCCTGGCGCAGAATAAACGCCTGCAGAGTCTTAACTACTGCTGTTATTGTTTCCCAACCTTAGCACTCACAGACCCACCCCCCCCCAGCTCCTCAGAGGCAGAATCCACTTCCTGTCCTCCCAGCCACTGACGCTGGGCTGTTCAGGTCCCCCCAGCCATCAGCTCAGACAGGGAGCAGATCCCAAGCCCACAAACGGTGAAGGACACCACTTCATTCCCAGTCTTCATCCTCCCTCCTCACCAACGTGCTCTGGTCTCCCCATCTTGAAAACAGGAAATCCTCGGTGACCCCACCTTCCCCCCAGCTCCTTCCCTCTTCCTCTTCCCAACCAAAGTGTCTGACACCTGTCCTCACACCGCCTCCCCCCTCAAGCTGACTTCTGACCCTGAGGTCTCTGACCGCCTCCCTGGGGACCCTGGAGGGTGTGGCCAATCCTCAGTAGCTGGTGCAATCTCCCCACCCTCGCACCCCTCATCCCAGCTGAGCCGCCCTGGCAGCCCCAGCTGGCCCCGCCCTGCCCTCATCCCGGCCACGCCCCCTTCTCCTAGCAGGGCTTGCAATCCAGGCCAGGGCACACTGGACTCCCCGAGGGTCACAAAGAACTCGTGTGACCCCAGTCCTGCAGAGGGAGGCGCTCAGGCCCGCGCAGCAGGAATACCTCCAGGTGCGCCCCTGTGACCAGGTGTGTCCGTGAGCACACAGCCCCACCTGCAGGCCAATACTGAGGGGTGGTACAGTGGCCACTTCAACAGCACGAGCAGTGTGACCTTGGGGGACATCAGCTTCCCAGAGGTTGAGCTTGGCGAAATCTGGAAAAACTAAAACCTCCCTTTGCCCTTGGTGGTCATGCGGCTGCAAAAGGCAGTGGGTGTCAATCATGCTGGGCGTGTGCAGGCTGAGCCGACCCCATCCAGAACTCTCAAATCCAAAAATGCTCCCAAATCTGAAATTTTTGAGTGCTGACATGATGCCAAAAGTGGACAGTTTCACCCCTGACCTCATGCGAGAGGTGGCAATCAAGACGCAGGGTGCACTAAAAGTAGTGAACAAAATCACCTTCAGGTCAGACACGGACACATGTGGAACAAAGGCAGCTCACATGCAGACTTGGGTCCATCCCGGGATGTCTATGAATATGCAAATACACCAAATCTTTTAAAAAGAATTTAAATTCTTTTATTTTATTAATTTTAATTATTATTTTATTTAATTTTTTATTAATTCTTTCAGGCATTTTGATTATAATTATCACGGGTACAGATTCTCTGTTTATGCGTAAAACAGCTTGATTCTAGGCTCCAGTGATTATAAACAGGTTTGTCACTTACATGAGCATCTGCCTAGGTGGGGAAGGGGCTGCAGGTGTGCAGGGGCTGCAGGTCTCCACCCTGAGACCCACCCAGTAAGTGCCAGTCACATCCCCATCTCTGAGACAACCAAAAATGTCCCCATGATTCCAAATGTGCCTCCAGGGACAGTATGCCCACCTGAGAACTCTCCCGGTGCGAACCCCAACTCTGGCTCCAGCACAGCCTTTCTGGTCCCCTGAGCGACCCCTGCACGTTCCCCAGGGCCCCACACTCAAAGCATCCCTCGCTGAGCTCATCACCAGCTTCTCCTGCTGGGTCACCACCTGGCTGTCACCTTGATCTTCACCTTTAAGCCCAAGCCACGTCCTCCCCCCTTTCCTCATTCAGTCCCCCTCCCACCCACCCTTCCCTCTCCCCCTCCCCCAGGCCTCCCAGCCAGAACCCAGCTCCAAGCTCAGGCCTCAACAGTCAGGCCAAATTCCTTGTCTTGACCCTGGGGGACCCCTGCTCCATTCACTCACCCTCCCGCTTTTCCTCACTGACTCAGTGCTGACACCTCGACATGCCGGAGCCCCTGCCCTGGGGGACGCAGATCAGCTGGGTGTGCCACGTCCAAGGTGTGGATGCTGAGGGACACTCGGGAGGCAGCAGGGGTTCAGAGGAAGCACCTCACCTGTTCCGTATTCAGGAAGTTCTCTCCAGAGGGATGTCCCCTGAGCCCGTCACAAAGGATGGATTGGCTTTGAGGAGGCAAGGAAGGGTGTCTGACGGGGACTGGCATTCGCTGAGACCCGGAGGATGCAAGATGAGCACTTGGCTCAAGATCCCCTGTGGCATGCATGAGTGGGAGGGCCACCCGGAGCCTGAAAGGCCTTTCAGTCACACAGAGACGGGTCAGGGTCACCACGTGAAAATGCACACTGATAACTCGGCCGGGGCAGGTGGAGGAGTTCAGGGGCGACTCCCTGCTCCTGCCCACCCCCTCCTCTGCCCTCCACCTCTGCCCGGGATGGAGACTCCCTGGGGAGGAGAAGGGACAGAGTCTTCCTGCTTCCCAGCGCAGCCTCTGGCGGGCACAGAGGCTGGAATCTGTTCTCCACTGTCAGACTGGGGCTCCCATTGTCCACCCTGGACACAGAGCCATGTCCTCAGGCCACTAAGGACAAGCCACGCCACGCCCCCGCCTCGGTTTCCCTCCTAGCCTGTGTCCCAAGATGACCATGTGAGGATGGCTGTAGTGTCGGCCCCAACACCATGTCCCCCAGACCTGGCGCATCACATGAGCTTGGTCAAATGCCCATCAGCCTCGTTGTTCTTCCCACCACTCGGGCTGGGCAGGAGTACCCCACTCCAGCCACCTGGTTCCCCAGAACGTTTGATCCTCAGCCCTAGGGAGCAGGGCCACCCCGGGCTTTACGGATAGGGCAGGGGAGGCCCACAGCACTACTAGGCTGCCTCGCCAAGATTAGGACCCAGTCCCAGCCCCACACCAAGGCGGGGCTCACTTCAGCCCCACACCAAGGCGGGGCTCACTTCAGCCCTGGTGTTCCTCGACCACCCACCTCCCGGGCTGAGGGGAGTCTGGAACTGGCTGTGCCCCTCCTGCACTGGAGAACACCTCCTGGGGGACCCTCCAATGCTGGGTCCAGCCTTCTCCCCCCCTGACCTAGCTTTGCCCACACCACTCTCCTGCTCCACCCTGTCCATATCCTCTCTGCCCAGACACCCGTCTCCAACCCCCCAAACCTGCTAGAAGAGTGGGTCCTCTTAGGAGATTTGGTCTTGGCTCCCAGCATCCTTTGCTCTGGAATATTTCTCTGAAGTTCGGTTTCCTCCTTTGCCCTGGTTCACTCAGCAGATCTCCCTATTGGGACTAAGAAAGGACTCCCCCCGGGTCCCAGCCTCCAGAAGCTCCCGGCCTGGGATGGGGCACTTCCTGCAGGAGGGACACCTCTGAGCCTGAGTTTGCCACCAGGGAAGCTCCAGGGGACTGTCGCTGTCTGTTGCCAGACTCCTGCCCGGCAGGGGTGTCCTGGACAGGAGCAGCAAGCGTCCCCAGAGAGACCCTGAATCTAGGGCACTGGATGAGTTCACTTGGGCTAGAGGCTGGGGGGGTGCCTGTGCCCGAGTCTCCCCCATGGGCCCAAAGAAGGGCATGAGAAACTGGGGGAGGCGAAGGGAAAGTGGGAGCGAAGGAAGGTGCCAGAACTGATGAGGAGCAAGGCCAAAGAGAAGAATGTGACAGAGGCGACCGGGAGACTGGGCCAGGTGTCATGGGCTGAGATAAGGAATAGTGTCACAGCAAGATCCAGGACAGAGGTCACGCACCAGGTTGGGACACATGATCACGTGGGCAGAGGGAGGAAGGAGGTCTCCTCAAGGTGAAAGGGGTTAGCTGAGGTGGAATGTCACAGAGCAGCTGGTCGGGAGGGAGGGAGGGAGGGAGGGGGAGGGAGGGAAGGAAGTGAGGACCAGGGTGGGGGGTTCCCCAGCAAGGCTCCAGCCTCCCTCCTCCTGCGCCACAGCCTGTGAGGGCCCCACTGGGGCGGGCGTCTGTCCTCCATGGGGGGAGGTACTGAAAGGGGGGATGGATGCACAGAAAGACCAAAAAAGAGGCCTGAGGGATGGACCCGAGCCGTCCTTCTGTGGTCAGAAGCCTGAATGGGCCTTGCCGCCCCTCGCGGGGTCCCTGAGGTGGGGAGGAACGCAGGTGGCTAAGGTGACGCCCATCCTGGTGGTGGTGAGCAGGCGCCCAACCGCAGCTCACCCTGCCGCACCGCGCTCACCCAGGGCAGCAAGGAGCGCTTCCACTGGCAAAGCCACAACGTGAAGCAAAGCGGCGTGGACGACATGGTGCTGCTGCCCCAGATCACCGAGGACGCCATCGTGGGCAACCTGCGCAAGCGCTTCATGGACGACTACATCTTCGTAGCCTGGCCGTGGGCAGGGGGCAGGCAGGGAAGGGATGCAGGGACAGGGGAAGGGCTGGGCGGAGAGGGGCATGGCAGGTGGACGGAGACATTCAGGGAAGGACATGGAGGGCCTGAGCCATGGGCGGAGAGTGGGTGCACGGACAGAGGGAGGCTGGGCATCGAGGGCCCTGGGCTGGAGACCGAGGGCAGATGAAGTATCAGTGGGCTGTACTGGGAGGTAGCTGTACCTGTCCCTCCTCCCCCTGCCCCAGGGTCACAGTCCCATTTTCTGGACGAAGCCCAGTTTTTTCCTAAGAGACTCGAGGTCCATCTGAGTATCTCTGTGTCTCCCTCCAAGTAACGGGGCTCAGGGAATCCCCAGGGGAGCAGAAGGAGGCCATAGGGTCCTTGAAGGACAAAACCCTCCCAACACTCCGTGGTCCTTAACCGTCTCCCAGACCTACATCGGCTCGGTGCTCATCTCCGTAAATCCCTTCAAGCAGATGCCCTACTTCACTGACCGTGAGATCGATCTCTACCAGGGCGCGGTGAGGCCGGGGTCAGGCGGGAGGAACAACCCAAGACGCCCAGCCCTGGCCTGGGCTGACACCTGCCCTGCCCCCCCCAGGCCCAGTACGAGAACCCCCCGCACATCTACGCCCTCACAGACAACATGTACCGCAACATGCTCATCGACTGTGAGAACCAGTGCGTCATCATCAGGTACGGGGCGGGGGGGCCCTGATGGACCCTCCGGCAGGCACCTGCTCAAACATCACCACTACCCCAAGGGTGGTTTCCTGGAACTCCCAGTCCCAACAGCCTTGCTCTCCCTGTCTGCCCCTTCCCGCCTCCTGGCTTACTTCCCTCGCACCGGATCACTTCTGATATATTTTATTGATTCATTCTGTCACTGGCCGTCTGTCCCTTGTAAATGTCAGCTCCATGAGGACAGGGATTTCCATCTGCCTTGGTCACTACTGTCTCCCCAGTCCCTGGAATAGTGCTGGGTACACCATAGGTGCTCAATCAATGAATGAGTGATGGGGCAGGCACTTCTACCACCCCCACCCACTGACCACTCCTTCTTCCCTCTACCCCAGTGGAGAGAGTGGAGCTGGGAAGACAGTGGCCGCAAAATACATCATGGGCTACATCTCCAAGGTGTCTGGCGGGGGAGAGAAGGTCCAGGTGAGCGGCAGCAACCCGACAGGCCGGGTCTCCCCCAGCTGCATCTCTGCTCCACCTGACCCCGACTGACCTCTTTCCACCTGCCTCTGTCCCCAGCACGTCAAGGACATCATCCTGCAGTCCAACCCGCTGCTGGAGGCCTTCGGCAATGCCAAAACCGTGCGCAACAACAATTCCAGCCGATTTGTAAGTCTCCACCACCCACCTGGAGCAGCTGCTCCCTCCAAGCCAACCTTCTCGACCCCCCCAGACCACACACACACACACACACACACACGTCACACATGTTCACACATGCACACACACACACATGTCACACACATGCACACACACGCACACACACGTCACAGACACGCACACACACGCACACACATGTGCACATGCACACACACACGTGTACACACACACATACACACACACACAGCCAGGATTATAGCCCCCGTGGAAATTTAGCAGGAAACGCCTACTTCTGGAAGGGAGACTCACTTCCTACTTATGGTCCGTTTGAAAAAGGGTCCCCCATTGTCAGGACTGTGGAGGCCATGACACCTCTGTGTAACATCCTTAAATACTCTCCTGGTGGCAGCCACGAAAACTTCCTTTTCAGATTTCAGGTCCAATTTATTCCTCCATTCATCCTTTCAACAAAGAGTTCTTGGGCTTCTTTTTGTGGGTGTCATGGGCTGAGTAAACAGATCTGGATTTATGGTCTGGTTCTGTCACTGTTTAACTGTGTGGCCCAGTTGGGAAAAAAAAATGATGTCATCTCTTGAGGCTCCCACTTGCTCATCCATAAAACGGAGATGATGTTACACTGCGATGTAAATAGACCCCACACCTCCCGCCACCCAAACACTTCAGCATGGATATCACTGATCATTGTCCAGTATAAATTTGAAGCTTTTCTTTAACTGCATACTGCAAAATACATACATCCAAAGTGGACCACTCTAATTTTTATGTGGTGCTGAGGATTGAACCCAGCGTTCAATCCATCACCATGACTCCTGAGTTCCCACTTGGCCCTTTCGTCAACCTCTACTCCCAACTGACAGTAGAAGCAACCACTTTTCTGATTTATTGTTTGCCACATATTCATTTCACCTGCTCTAGAACGTCTTCTAAGTGAAATCACATAATATTATTATTCGAATAATACACATAAAAACACAGATGAGGGCTGGGGTTGTGGCTCAGTGTCAGAGCACTTGCTTCGCACATGTGAGGCGCTGGGTTCAATCCTCAGCACCACATAAAAATAAGTAAACAAAATAAAGATATTGTGTCCATCTATAACTAAAAAAAAGTTTAAATATTAAAAAACATGGATGACTGTCAAAACATATATACATTTTACTGTACAATTTTAGTGTACAATATGGTAAATAGTCATTACATGCTACAGGTGTTGTGTAAGATGACGATGTAATTTGTATTGTTTTTGGACAGGGGTGGTAGAGGACTTTCTTCCCTCTAACCTCTGGCCAGAGTAGAACTCAGATGGTGTTAGAGACCAAAGAAGGGGTCTTTGGGGCCCTTTTGGGGAGAGCATATAGGAGATGCCAAAGGACCACGGGGATCCACAGCATCCCACAGAGACATGGAGGCCTCTGTGTTAGGGTGCAGGGACTTGGAAACTGGTTGATAAAATGTGATGATACCAGGACTGGTACAGCTAAACGGGTAGAATGGTCATTGCTTGCCCAGGGCACAACCTGAGCAAAGGCCAAAGGGGCAGCTGGTGAAAGGAGCAAGTACTTTATAAGTGGGTGTAGGAAGAGGAAGGAGAGGGAAGGCCAAGAAGAGACAAGAGAAGCAGGCTCCCAAGACCCTTCCTAGGCTTTGCACCACCTGCCCTCTGGCCCTGGGGACTAATGTGGTTCTTTGCGATTCAGGGCGTTATCATTTATGGTATTAGGTAATCATACCTAATAGTGGACTTCAGTGTGACACATTTATACATGCACATAATGTAATTTGGTCAGTTTAATTTGGACACCGGTCCCACCCAGTGTCCAGCCGCTGGTTCTGCAGCTGGTGGCAGGGATCCTACAGAACTTCCCCTTCTCCTCCTCCCGCCCTCCCCCAGGGCACTCCCTCTACTTGGCTCTTCTCCGAGATCCACCGCCACCATTTTTCCCCCTTTTTTCTCTCTGGATTCCACCTAAACCCAAATGACCCTTGATTTTCTGAGTCTGGTTTATTTGGCTTAACATAAAGCTCTCTAGTTCAATTCGTTTTCCTGCAAATGACGTGATTTCCTTCTTCTTTGTGTAGTCTGTATTCTTACTGGATGGGGGTGATAGAAAGTAAAGCTCCATCTGTTCAGAGACCACCTTTTCTTTCTCCGTTCACCTGTTGATGGGCCCCGGGCAGTTTCGTGGCTTGGCTAGGTGATGGTGCATGGATCACTACGGTGTGATGACTTTAATTCTTTTGGATAAATAGCGAAGAGTGGAATAGCTGGTTGCGAGGTGACAGCTGGTTCAGTGGCGGTGCCATTCCGAGTCCTCTGAGGAACCTCCACACTGACGTCCACCGTGGCTGCACTGATTCGCCACCCCACCACCAGAGTATACGTGTTCCTTTCCCCGCGTCCCTACCAGGATTCACTATTTGTATCCTTGATGTCTCCAGGGCAAGTACTTTGAGATCCAGTTTAGCCGTGGCGGGGAGCCAGATGGGGGCAAGATCTCCAACTTCTTGCTAGAGAAGTCCCGCGTGGTCATGCAGAATGAAAATGAGAGGAACTTTCACATCTACTACCAGGTGCAGGGAAGGGCCCATGGGGCTGGGCCACAGGAACCCCAACTGGACCGCAGGGGTTGGGGAGGGAGATAATGGGAAGGTCAGTGTCCAGGGAGCCCACGAGGGCTGTGCTGGGTCAGCTCCAGAAGCATGAGCATCGCTCACCCTCCAGCTGTTGGAAGGGGCCTCGCAGGAGCAGCGCCAGAACCTGGGGCTCATGACGCCCGACTACTATTACTACCTCAACCAGTCAGACACCTACAAGGTGGATGGCACCGATGACAGGAGCGACTTCAGTGAGACCCTGGTGAGTACCAGACACCACTGCAGCCCTCAGCCAGTCCCTAAGCCCAGAGAAAACCCTCTCACATTATAAATAAGGTAACTGAAGCCCAGAGAGGCACAGAGACTTGTCCAAGGTCACACAGCAAGTGAATGAAAGAGCCAGGCCAGGCACCCCAAATGTTCTGACTCTGAATCTATGCTGTGGCCCCAGGGGCAGGGTGGAAGCCAAAGTTGGTTTTCCCTGTTGTGCCCACAGAGTGCCATGCAAGTCATTGGGATCCCACCCAGCGTCCAGCAGCTGGTTCTGCAGCTGGTGGCAGGGATCCTACACCTGGGGAACATCAGTTTCTGTGAAGAGGGGAATTACGCCCAGGTGGAGAGTGCAGACCGTGAGTGTGGGCGCTGGGGAGAGAGGGGAGCCTATGTGTGTGTGAACTGCTTCCTCCTGATTCAGAACCCACGAGGACAATGTCATTGTCACTGGGCAAGATGTGGAGTCCCAAGGGGCTGACCCTGTCCCCTTTTGCCCTGGCCTGGCAGTCCTGGCCTTTCCTGCCTACCTGCTGGGCATTGACAGCGGGCGGCTGCAGGAGAAGCTGACCAGCCGCAAGATGGACAGCCGCTGGGGCGGACGCAGTGAGTCCATTAATGTGACCCTCAACGTGGAGCAGGCAGCCTACACCCGTGACGCCCTGGCCAAGGGACTCTATGCCCGCCTCTTCGACTTCCTGGTGGAGGCGAGTGGAACCGGGGCTGCGGGACGTGGGCTGTGGGGCTAGGTGGGCACCCGGTGCCTACCAAGTCCTGGGCTTGAGCCCACCAAGCGGAAGAGGCAGACTTGACTCCTCATCTCACCAACTCCTGGCTGGGGATGGAGGCGACTCTCAGCACAGGCGGCAGGGGATGAGATGGGAGATCCGGAAGCTCCTGTGCTGTGGCACGGAGCCCTGGAGGGAAGGGGCTGCTGGAGACTCCAGACCTGGACTGGCATCAGGGCAATGGGGACGGAGGGGGGGTGCATTTGAGAGCCAGGAGGAGGAGTGTTGAGGGGACAAAGCGACGGACAGATGGGGGCAGAAAGGAACAGGACGTGTCAGGGCCAGTAACAGTCAGGACCGTAACAAACACGTGCAGCCCTTAGGCACCGTCCTAAGTGTTCTATGTGCATCGGCTTCTTGAATCTTCAGAAAAATACCCATAAAGTACAGATTAAGCATCCCTAATCTGAAAATCCCAAATCCCAAATGCTCCAAAATCCAAGATTTTTGAGCACTAAAATGAGACCACGAGTGGAAAATTCGGCCCCTGACCTGATAGACTGTCAAACTGCAGATATGCCAGGCACGGTGGTGCAGTCCTGTAATCCCAGTGACTCAGGAGGACTGCAAGTTCAAAGCCAGCCTCAGCAACTTAGTGGGTCCCTAAGCAACTTGGGAAGTCCCTATGTCAAAATAAAATATATATATATATATATATATATATATATATATATATACACACACACATACATATACATATATATATGGTCTGGAGATGTAGTTCAGTGGTAAATTGCCCCTGGGTTCAATCCCCAGTACCAATCATACATATATAATATGAAGGTGCACTAAAAATATTGTATAAAATGAACTTCAGGCTATGGGTAGAGAGTGCATATGAAAGAAGTGAGATTTGTGTTTGGATTTGGGTCTCATCCCCAAAACATCTCATTATATACCTGCAAATATTCCAAAATCAAAACTCTGAAACACTTCTGGTCCCAAGCATTTCAAATAAGGAATACTCACCCTATAGTTGGTTTTTGTTTGTTTGTTTTAGAGCTGGGGACTGACCTCAGGAGCACTTTACTACTGAGCTACATCTCTAGTCTTTTTCTTTTTTATGTTGAGATGGGGTCTCACTAAATTGCTGAGGCTGGCCTTCAACTTGTGATCCTCCTACATCAGCCTCCTGAGCTGCTGGGATGACAGGCGAGCACCACTATGCCTAGCTCTAGTTGCTTTTTAATTAGTTTTTGCAGTGCTGGGAATCAAACCCAAGGCCTCACATATGCCCACAGGTGCTCTAACACTAACTATACCCCCAACCCAGTAGTTGCTATAATTAATCCATTCTTTTGTGTATGTGTGTGGTGCTGGTGATTTGAACCCAGGGCCTTGTGCATGCAAGGCAAGCACTCTACCAACTAAGCTGTATCCCCAGCCCAATCCATTCTTTTGATTAATTTTTTTTTTGAGATGAGTCTCACTGTTGCCCAGGCTGGTCTCGAGCTACTGATCTCAAGGGATTCTCCTGCCACATCTTCCCGAGCATTGACACTACAGGTGTGCACCATGACACCTAGCTTATTAATTCGCTTTAGAGATGAGGAAACAGAGACACGGAGAGGTTAAGTGGCAGAGGTGGCTGCCAGATCAGGAACCCCAATACTCAAACACTTGGATCTCTCATAAGGGTGACTGATTACAAGGTGGGAGGACAGAACATGGCACTAGAGAGAAACTGGTGAGAGGGGACACGGTCCATGAGCACAGCTAAGAGCACATCAGGAGAGTGCTGACCAGATGCCCACTGACTGCCGTCCCCACCACACTACAGGCCATCAACCGTGCGATGCAGAAGCCCCAGGAGGAGTACAGTATCGGTGTCCTTGACATCTATGGCTTCGAGATTTTCCAGGTTTGGTCACTGCACCTCCAACCCCCAGCCCACACCTGTCCTCCATACAACCTAGGGTAGCCCGTGGCCACCTAGCATCAGCCCACTGATGGAGGGACCCCTTTCCTCCCTGGCAGAAAAATGGTTTTGAGCAGTTCTGCATCAACTTCGTCAATGAAAAGCTGCAACAAATCTTCATCGAGCTCACCCTGAAGGCTGAGCAGGTGGGCAGCGCAGCCAAGTGGCATGGGATGGGTATTGGGGTGGGGTAGGACCTTGAGAGTCACCGAGCCACTGGGGACACCCCAGCCCCTGGTCCCCACCTCCCTGCTTGCCCCCTGTTAGCCAGCTCCCCAGCACCAGCATGAAATCCCAACATCATCGTCTCAGAGAGAGAAAGGGTTATTCTGGCCCACGGCTTTGGAGATTCCCGTCTAAGATTGGATGGACCCATAGCTTTGGGCCTCTGGTGGGGGTGCCAGATGGCAAAGCGCATGTCAGAACAAACTGCCCACCTCGTGGCCAGGAAGCAAGAGAGAGAGAGAGGAAGGGGAGGGTCCCATAAGTCCCTTCAAGGACATACCCCCAATGGCCTAAAGACTCGCACTAGGCCCCACCTCCCCTAAGTGCCACCACCTCCCAAGAGCACCACTCCGTGGACCAGGCCATCATACAGGCCTTTGGGGGATACTCAGCATCCATACTGCAGCCCCCGCCGGCACTTCCCTGCATTTCCCTCTGCCTCGGAAGCTGGTGGTTTATCCACCAGGTCCTGTTGAGTGTCCATCTGGGAGGATCGGAAGCAGGGACATGGTTCCCTGGCACTTCCTGCCTGCCCCACCCAGGGCCAGAGACAGGCCTGGGAGAAGAGATGGGTGGCACTGGGCACAGCTCCTCCATCCACCCCTCCCGCCCCCTTCCCCCCAGGAGGAGTATGTGCAGGAGGGCATCCGCTGGACCCCCATCGAGTACTTCAACAACAAAGTCGTCTGTGACCTCATTGAAAACAAGCTGGTGAGGACTGACACACTTCCAGAGGTCTCGCTGGGCCTGGGAGACCCGGGAGTGGGTTATGGCAGCCTAGGGCCCCTCTAGCCTAGGCCCAGGTCTCCAGCAGATGAAGCACAACTGAAATATCCCCTCAGCCACCTGATGCGTGGCCTCTGCCCCCCGGCTGAGCTGTCATTTCTTCACTGGACATCCCCCTGGGCTCAGAGGGGTCAAAGTCATGAATTCCTCCTGGGGTCCCCCGCTCTCTCCTGCACTCCATGGAGCACACATTTCTAAGTCCTCGACCACCAAAAACCACTTTTTCTGACCCGTGGGAAGGAACTCTGGGTCTCGCGGTTAGGTAGGAGCCTTCCCACTGGAGCGACACCAGCCCCACTGCCACCATCGGGGCGAGTATCACGCGCCCTCCCCGCCTGCTCCAGCCCTCTGCACCTGCTCGCCTCTGGGCTCCCTCTCTGGGGCTGGCGACTGGCCAGGGCAGGACCAGCCGACTAAGCTGCCCTCTGCTCGCCCTGGCAGAGCCCCCCGGGCATCATGAGCGTGCTGGACGACGTGTGCGCCACCATGCACGCCACAGGCGGAGGTGCCGACCAGACGCTGCTGCAGAAGCTGCAGGCGGCCGTGGGCACCCACGAGCACTTCAACAGCTGGAGCGCGGGGTTCGTCATCCACCACTACGCCGGCAAAGTGCGTGCTCCCGCCCCCGCCCCGCCGCTGTACTCCCCCCAGGCCACCCCCCACAGACCCCAAGGGCTCCAGCTTGCAGCCCTCCAACACCCAGATGGGAAGGATCCTGCCAGGACCCCCTGCCAGGGCCGCAGGGTTCCACCAACATCCTCCTCCGGCCCTCTCCCTACTGACCACAATGATGAGCCCATGGACTGCAGCCACCACCGAACCTGGGAACTCTTCCCCAAAACTGCCTGCACCCACCCCTGGTCCCCCCAAGGAACTCTCTGGTCTCTGATCAGGGCCACAGCCTGCACAGCCAAAAGGGCAGCTGCCCCAGTAGACAGGCAGGACAACTTGGGCAGCAGGCACCAGTCCCTCCCCTCTGCCCAGAAAACCTCAATGTGAGCAGCAGCCCCTGACTCTGGAACCCCCCTTCTTGTCCCAGTTTGGAAAGCAAATCTCCCAGGCCTCCAGGCCCATGCTACAGGCTCCCTGCAGACCCTACCCAAGGCTCCAGCAAGCTCCTCCCTGGCCGCTGCCTCTTCCCCACTGGGAGGACTATAGGCCCTCTCCTCATGCTCCTGACCTCATGGGGCAGCAGACATTCCCAGGGGCCCCTGCCCAGGCTGCCTCCCACCATCCACCAAAACAGGTGGGAGTGCCTGTCCTCAGCCAGGGCTGCAAAAGCAGGTGTATAAAGAGCTTCCTCTTTAGAAAGCAGCCCCAGCCCACCACCCCCTATCAACAGCCAGGGCTGTAGACCCTCCCCAAACACAGCACCCCCAACCCCCAAGTGACCAGGATGAGGTAATCCAACCTTCAGAGTTAATCTTAAGCAGCAGACTTCTGGGCACCCCCTCCAAGGCTGCAGTTCCCCACCCTCCAATCTGAACCCTAACTCCTACCTCGCCCTGGCTCTGATCCAAGCAGCAGGATTTCAACCCCCACATCCCTTCACCTGTGACTTGGGGTCACACACTCTAACTTGAACTTCAGACCTCCAGGGAGCCCTGGCACCAGTGGTAACCCCCAATCCTCTATTCTAAACCAGAGATCACCCCAAACCAGAGCTGTAGCTAACTCTCATCTTCTCACCCCAGAGCAGGTCCACCCCCACACACCCAGTCTCTGGGCCTCACCCCCATGACACCCCTCCCTCCAGGTCTCCTATGACGTCAGCGGCTTCTGCGAGAGGAACCGGGATGTCCTCTTCTCTGACCTTATAGAGCTGATGCAGACCAGCGAGCGGTGAGTGGCCCGGGTGCTGGGGCCTCCAGGCAGAACCCCCATGGGGATGCAGGGAGGATTGGGGACCACTCCATCTTCCCCAGAGCTCCCACTGTGGCACTGACGCTGTGGGGGTGGCTGTGTGGCCAAGGCATGGTTCTGATCTCAGAGAATCTCCAGGTGCTGGGGATGTAGCTCAGTGGTAGAGCCTGGCGTGCTGGGGCTCTGGGTTCCATCCCTAGTACAGCTCCAGGTACTCAGGTCCCCAGCAGAGACATCTGAGTCGGATTCCTTACATCTCCCTCCAGGAGCCCAGGCATCCATTGATGACTATGAATCAGCCTCCTCATATCAAAGAAAACATTTGGCATTTGGTTTTTTGGGATTGGCTAACTTCACTTAGCATTATCTTCTCTAACTCCATCCATTTACCTGCAAATGCCATAATTTTATTCTCTTTTATTGCTCTGTAATATTCCATTGTGTATATATGCCACATTTTTTATCCATTCATTCACTGAAGGGCATCTAGATTGGTTCCATTGTTTAGCTATTGTGAATTGTGCTGATAAAAACATTGATGTGGCTGTGTCCCTGTACTAGGCTGTTTTTAAGTCCTTTGGGTATAGACCGAGGAGAGGGACAGCTGGGTCAAATTGTGGTTTCATTCCCAATTTTCCAAGAAATCTCCATACTGCTTTCCATATTGGCTGCACCAATCTGCAGTCCCACCAGCAGTGTATGAGTGTGCCTTTTTCCCACATCCTCGCCAACACTTATTGTTGTTTGTATGCATAATAGCTGCCATTCTGCCTGGAGTGAGATGAAATCTTAGAGTGGTTTTAATTTGCATTTCTCTAATTGCTAGTGATGATGAACATTTTTTCATGTATTTGTTGATTGATTGTACATCATCTTCTGAGAAGTGTCTCTTCAGGTCCTTGCCCATTTATTGATTGGGTTATTTGTTTTTGTTTTTGTTTTTTTTTTTTTTGGTGTTTAGCTTTTTGAGTTCTTTATATACCCTAGTGATTAGTGCTCTATCTGATGTGTGAGGGGTAAAGATTTGCTCCCAAGATGTAGGCTCTTTATTCACCTCACAGATTGTTTCTTTGGCTGTGAAGAAGCTTTTTAGTTTGAGTCCATCCCATTTATTGATTCTTGATTTTAATTCTTGTACCACAGGAGTCTTATTAAAGAAGTTGGGGCCTAATCCCACAGGATGGAGATTAGGGCCTACTTTTTCTTCTAATAGACGCAGAGTCTCTGGTTGTATTCCTAAGTCTTTGATCTATTTTTGAGTTGAGTTTTGTGCATTGTGAGAGATAGGGGATTAATCTCATTTTGTTGCATATGGATTTCCAGTTTTCCCAGCACCATTTGTTGAAGAGGCTATCTTTTCTCCAATGCATATTCTTGGGACCTTTTTCTAATATAAGATAATTGTAGTTTTGTGGGTTAGTCTCTGTGTCCTCTATTCTGTACCATTCACCAGTCTGTTTTGGTGCCAATACCATGCTGTTTCTGTTACTATTAGTATAGTAATAGTAACTATACTAATAGTTATCTGTAGTATAGTTATCTCAACATCATAAAGGCTATCTATGCTAAGCCCCAGGCCAACATCATTCTAAATGGAGAAAAATTGAAGGCATTCCCTCAAAAAACTGGAACAAGATAGGGACGTCCTCTTTCACCATTTCCATTTAACATAGTTCTTGAAACACTGGCCAGAGCAATTAGACAGATGAAAGAAATTAAAAGGTTACACATAGGAAAAGGAAAAACTCAAATTGGCACTATTTGCTGATGATATGATTCTAATCCTGGAAGACCCTAAAAGTTCCACCAGAAAACTCCTAGAACTAGTAAATGAATTCAGCAAAGAAGCAGGATATAAAATCAACACCCATAAATCAAAGGCATTTCTGTATATCAGTGACAAATCCTCAGAAAGGGAAATGAGGAAAACTACCCCATTCTCAATAGCCACCCCCAAATAATAAAATACTTGGGAATCAACTTAACAAAAGAGGTGAAAGATCCATATAATGAAAATTATAGAACCCTAAAAGAAAGAAATCAAAGAATACCTTATAAGATGGAAATGCAATTCCAATCAAAATTCCAATGACATTCCTTATAGAAATAGAAAAAGCAATCATGAAATTTATCTGGAATAATAAGAGACCCAGAATAACTAAAGCAATCCTTAGCAGGAAGAGTGAAGCAGGTGGCATCACTATACAGAGTCTGCATTTTAATAAGACCCTCCCAGACCTCCTGAGGATCCAAGGGCACATCAGAATTTGAGAACCATTAGTTTAGATCAGGGCTGTCCAATATAATCATATCCAACATCATTCAAGTAATTATTTTTAAACAGCCTTATTGAGGTGTAATTTCCATGTCATTAAGTTTTCCCATTTATGAAATGTAGAATTTAATGACTTGTAGTAAATTGACAGAATGTAGGTGCAGCCATCACACAATTCAACTTCAGAATGTTTGTTTCACCCTAAAAAGATTCCTCATGTCAATCTACAGTTAATCCCCACTTCCACCACCTGTAGAGTTCTAAAGGTTCCAGTAAGCACACTTAAAAAGTGAAAAGGTGGACTAATGAAACAGGTAAAATTAAATATGTTCTAGTTAACTCAATATCATATATATATATATATATATATATATATATATATATATATATATATATATATATACACACACACACACACACACACACCAGGGCCTCACACTAGGCAAGTGCTCTACCACTGAGCTATACCCCAAGCCCTTTATTATTTTGAGACAGGGGCTCATTAAGTGGCCCAGCCTGGCCTCAAACTTGTGATCCTCCTACCTCAGTCTCCTCAGTCCAGCTATTCAGTCACACACCACTACGAAATATTACCATTTTTAACATATAACCAATGTAACAAAAAAAAAAAGAAAGAAACATTTCACAGTTTTTGGTCTTTGGATACCAGTGTATACTTTAATAATTGCAGTATGTCTCAATTATGAATAGGCCACATTTCAAGGACCTCAGTAGTGAGATGGAACCAGTGGCCGCCATATTGGAAAACACAGAACTAGAATCATGATTCTCCTGGTGGGGTCCCTAGACCCACAATATCAGCATCACCTGTGAACTCATTAGACGTTATTGGTCAGCCTGGTGCAGTGGTGCACACCTGTGTCCCAAATCCCTGAGACAGAAGTTCACGGCCAGCCTCAGCAATTTAGAGACCTTCAGCAACTTAGACTTTGTCTCAGTAAAAAATGAGATCTATGGATTTCACTCAGTGATAAAACACTCCTGGGTTCAATCCCCAGAACCAAAAAATAAATAAATAAATAAATGAGAGAAGAAGAGGAGGAGGAGGAGGAAGAAGAGGGAGGAAGGAAGGAAAATTGGGTCACGGTCCAGACCTATGAATGAGAACCTCCTAGGTGGGCCCTGGCAGTGTGTGTTACCAAGCTGTCCTGAAGATTCCCGTGATGCTTCGCTGATTGACCTATTTTTCTATTTAACTCTGATCTGTGTTACTTGCTACCCGAGTCATGCATGACATAGAGCAAACCCAGTGCAGATAAATCAAGGAACGCACAGGACAGCACCAACCCACACCTCACTCACCACAGTCCCCCCGCTCTGTTTGCATCGTGGCTCGAGGCAGCCCCATCGGCCCCAGGGTCCAGCTGCACCCCCAACCTTCCCTCTTCCCGCCCAGGGCCTTCCTCCGGATGCTCTTTCCTGAGAAGCTGGATGTGGACAAGAAGGGCCGTCCGAGCACTGCTGGCTCCAAGATCAAGGTGGGCTTGGGACAGACGAGGGAGAGTTGGCATTAGAAGGGCTGGGTCCCACTCTGTCCAGTCCCCAGAGTGGGGTCCCTCCTGGTTCCAATGTCGGTCTCTCCCCCATCCCTAGGGCCATTGCGTCTGTCTCTGGCACAGCAGGCACCATCTTCCACCTCTAGGTTTGGGAGATTAAATCAATTTTCTTTACCACTTTTCCTCTTCTCCTTCTCCTCTGCCTTCTCCTCCTCCCTCTTTTCTTCCCCATCATCTCCTCCTCCGCCGCTGGGGATGGAACCCATGGATGGGCCTTGCACCTGCTAAGCGTGGACTCTACCACTGAGCCACACTCCCAGCCCCCGTGTTGGAGAGCATGTTCAACATACAAACAAAATTGACCATCTTACCCATTTCTAAGTGCACAGCTCGGAGGTGTGAAGTGTGTCCGTCTCCAGAACTTTCTGACCTTCTCACACTGAAGTCCTGTTCCCTTTAAACACTATCGCCCCAGCCCCTCCCCAGCCCCTGGCACCCACCACCCTGCTCCGCTGTCTCTGAATCTGATGATTCTAGGGGACCACCTGTGAGTGTGTCCTTGCCTGGCTGGCTGATCTCACTGAGCACAGTGTCGACAATGTCCCTCCGTGTGGCGCCATGTTGAAGAATTTCCTTCCTTCTTAAGGTTGGAAAATATCCAGTGTCTAGGTGGACCAGTTGTATCTATTCATCTGTTGGACACTTGGGCTGCTTCCGTCTTTTGGCTACTATAAACAATAGTGCGATGAACATGGGGGTCCCGTTCTAATAATATATGAGCACCCTTTTCTTTTCTTGAGTGCTTACTGCATACTGGCAGCAAGCACGGAACACGGATACACAAGGAGCTTGTTCAGTTCCACCCCCAAGGCTCAGAGAGGGCCACTCACTTGCCAAGGCCACACAGCAGAACCTGAGTCACTCCCACTAGTCCTCCCCCCAGAAGAATTCTTTTCGGCTCACCCTATTTCCTGGGGTGACTAAAATACACAACCTAAGGCTGGCCTCTCAAGCATGTACACATGATTCTTTACATCCCAAATCCCTGTCTCCCTAAAGGACAGGTAGAAACGTTCTGGGCAACATGGTCCCCTGAATGGTCAGCTACTCTGTCTGCAAACATTTCCTGAGCACTTACTATGTGCCAAGCTAAGCATGGGGAGTGTGGCACGTGCAAGAGCTCCCAGCTGGAGGGCAGGGCAGACCCAGGATATCACCCCTCTTGGTGGACACTCAGAGGTGTGCACTCTGTGCTCCATCAGCGCAGACCCCAGCCCCGCCCGCCATGGGTGTGTCTGTTTCTTGGGTGGGGAGAGGAGAGGGGCCATCTGTGCTCCCCTCACCCTGCCTTCTCCTGCGTCTCAGAAACAAGCCAACGACCTGGTGGCCACTCTGAAGAGGTGCACCCCCCACTACATCCGCTGCATCAAACCCAACGAGACCAAGAGGCCCCGAGACTGGGAAGAGAGCAGGTGACGTCCCCTGGCCAGGTCTGGACTTTGGTTGGACCAGTGCATGCCACCTGACCCACAGACTGACCCCCCATTCCAGGGCCCATCCCAGGACTAACCCAGGCAGCCCCAAGGGCCAGCACGAAACCCCTCAGGGCTCCTAGGTTATACTCAGCACTGACCAAGACCCCCCTGACCCCCGGGGTGACCCTAGACTGACGACAGGCTGACCCAGGGACAAGCACAGCCCCCAGCCTCAGTTCCCCAGACTCAAAGTCCAGAACTGACCCCAGGACTGACCACCAGGATGAGCACAGCCTCCGTCCATCCCCAGGCCCCACAGGGGCTGAGTGGAGTCCCAGACCTCAGTGCTCACCCTGAACAGCCCCCAACACAAACCCAGCCCTGCAGGACCTGCCCTGCCTTCCCCACGCCCAGCAGCCCCCAGCCGCAGGGTCTCAGGCCGCCCTCCCACAGGGTCAAGCACCAGGTGGAGTACCTGGGCCTGCGGGAGAACATCCGGGTGCGCAGGGCCGGCTTCGCCTACCGCCGCCAGTTCTCCAAGTTCCTGCAGAGGTGAGCGCTCGGCCCAGCGGCCCCAGCAGAATGACCAGCCGCCCTGCCCCAGATGCCCCACACCCCACCCTCTGCTTCCAGGTACGCCATCCTGACCCCTGAGACCTGGCCACGGTGGCGTGGGGACGAACGTCAGGGTGTCCAGCACCTGCTTCGGGCGGTCAACATGGAGCCGGACCAGTACCAGATGGGGAGCACCAAGGTCTTCGTCAAGAACCCAGAGTCGGTAAGTGGGAGCAAGAGAATGAAGAGAAAGGAAGAGACCAACCTATGGCATGGCCCCGAGTCCTTCAGGCCACCGTGTGACCTTGGGCAGGCTTCCTTGTCCCTCCAAGCCTGTTTCCCCATTTGGAAAATGGTGAGAATAACAGCCCCCGCCCCCTGCAAAACTGGGGTGAGGATTAGACAAAACAGGAAGGCTTGCTGGGCTCTGTGGTGCACACCTACAATCCCAGTGCCCCAGGAGGCTGAGGCAGGAGGATCTCAAGTTGGAGGCCAGCCTCAGCAACTTAGCAAAACTCTATCTCAAAATAAAATAAAAAGGGCTGGGGATGTAGCTCAGGGGCAGAGCCCCCTGTGCCCAAGCCTTAGGACCCAAAGCAAACAAACACTGCCCAGTGACAGGCACACAGGAGCTGCTCTGAGAAAGCCACATTTGCTGGATGGTTCTTGGTGGCCAGGAAGGTGGGGGAGGCCGCCACCTATCCACAAAGGTCTGTGTCCCCTTGTCCTTCCTTCACCCTTTCCTCCACTGGTTTTTCTGCTTTCATTCTTTTTTCTTTAATTTTTTTTTTCGCTTCTTTCTTTTTGGTCCTGGGATGAGCCCAGGGCCTCACGCATGCTGGTCGAGGGCTCTACCACCCAGCTACACCTTCAGCCTAAAATTTCTATTTTCAAGCTTTGTTGGCTGGTGGTGCTGGAGATGGAACCCAGTCCTGGCCTGGCTCTTCCACTGAGCTACACCTGACCCCTTTTTCCTTCTTTTACATGATTTCGTATTGCTTTTCTTTCTTCCTTCCTTCTTTTCCTCCTCCCCTTCCTCCTTTCCTACTTCCTATTTCCTTTTTTGGTTTATTGATTCATTTGAGACAGTTTCTCACTATGTCCCCAGGCCGGTCTCCAACTCTCCACCCCCCACCTCTGCTCTGCAGTGGCCGGGATCACAGGTGCCCGCCACCTCCCTCTTCTTCGTTCCTCATCCACGAGCACAGGCAGCTGCTAGGTCTGAACTGTAGGTCACGTGGGGACCTTCTCATTCCAAGGCCTTCCTTGAGCCCAGTCCACGTCCTCAGCACAGAGATGACCCCTCAGTGGGCTTCGGTGGGCTCTGAGCCTCTTACCTGGAAGCTGTGCCATCCCCATGCCACCCTGATTTCGGGGGGGGGGGGGAAACAAAGTGACAGTGACAAGAATAAAACCCTAGGACAGAAAAAAAAAAAAAAAACCCCTAGGACAGGGATCCCCCGAGCGCCTGTCCGGCTGCCTCGTGCTGCCGCACTGGACTCCCAGGGGAAGCCTGGGTTCCCTCAGCAGCAGAGAAAGGGCGTGGGCACTGGGGCCAGGCTCAGGGCCAGCCAGGTGCATGTCACACACATAACAGTGGCACCTGCTCCAACCACACCACAGGGACTTTATGAGGACAACAGATTGTTGAGGTGATCCTTCTGTTTCTGTAACTTAAAAGCAATTCTTCTCAGGCTGGGGGTAGCACACCTGCCCAGCAGGCACGAGGTCCAGTGCCAGCCCCGCCAAACAACCACAAAGTAGATGATATCACTGATAAAAACCCTTATCACTGGTCAAAATTGCCCACGGTTAAAACTACACCGGGGATGATTTAATTTGTAACAGGCAAGGAAAAGAAAATGAGAGGGGGAGAGGAAGAAAAAGGAGAGAACAGAAAGGGAAGAGAGAGAGAGAGTGAGCCCTCTTATTAGTTACTTGGAGATCACAAAATCTGTCTGGAAGAGACCAAAAACTCATACAGAACAGGAAAAAAAAAAAATAGGTAAAATAAAACCACCACTGGCAAAGACTAAGATAACATCAAGTTTTGACCAAAATTTCAGTCTGCAGACTTTGATTCGGGTAAGTTGGACTGGGTAGAAATAATGAGACAATGGCAGAAGTTAGGTGATCAATTTATTTTTTATTTTGGTACTGGGGATTAAACCCAGAAGCACTTGACCACTGAGCCACTTTCCAGCCCCCTCCCCTTTTTTATGGTAGTTGGACACAATACCTTTATTTTATTTATTTATTTATTTTTATGTGATGCCGAGGATCGAACCCAGGGCCTCACTCTACCACTGAGCCACAACCCCAGCCCCTTTCCCAGCCCTTTTTATTTTTAGTTTTGAGACAGGAACTCACTATGTTGTTGAGGCTGGCCTCCAACTTGTGACCCTCCTGCCTCAACCTCCCAAGTCACTGGAATTACAGGCATGTACGTCACCGCACTCAACTTGGATCAATTTCATTCCCCCCAGATAAAAAGTCTTTATTTTCTCTGTTCCTATAAAATTTGATCACCAAATTCTGGTCTGGAAGCCAGAAGTCTGAGAACAAGCTGGCTCATAGGAAGACTCTTTCTCTGCCTCTCCTTAACCTCGGCAGCTGCCAGCAATCCATCTTCCCACCTGTGCCTTCACCTTCGCACGGCCTCCTCCTTGGCATCTGTGTGTCCAAATCCCCGTCTTCTTATAAGGACACCAGTCCAACTGGAGTCAGGGCCCGCGCGAGTCCAGGACGACCTTGTTGTAACTTCATCACATCTGCAAAGACCCTGTCTCCAAATAAGGCCACATTTATGGGTTCCGACTGGGCATGAACTGGGGGACACTATTTTGTGTCCTGTCCTGGACACACTCAGCCACAGGTATATATTCACCTAGGCTGTGCCTGGGTACATGTGTCTAACACAGATACACTACCCTGGCCCAGACACAGTGGTCAACAGGTATTCGCTCCAACATCATAGATGTACGCGTCCATCAAATATGCTTTCATGTAGCCCAGACACACCTGACCATTAGATATGCCCTTACCTGGCCAGGCACATCGACCCACTGTACCTGGAGAAACTCCAATTTAATTAGGTCTCTCTCCTCTTAACATTCCAGCTCTTTAGACAGGAATCTTCATTTCCCAAATTGAAAATGGATCCTTTTCACTGGGCAGAGATCAAAAAGGCTGGAGGTGTTTGTTTATTTTTTTTTTTTTAGTTATAGGTGGACACAATATTTTTATTCTATTTTTATGTGGGACTGAGGATCGAACCCAGTGCCTCACTCATATGAGGCAAGCGCTCTCCCTCTGAGCCACAATCCCAGCCCCTGGAGGTGCATATTGTACCCACCCAGGACAGCTAAAGGCCGGGGAGGCGGCTCCAGGTTGGCAGGCCCTTCCCAGTCCTGCATGGCTGGTCTCCCTCATCCATTCGCCCTGTCCCTCAACAAACCTCAGACGTACTCACCAGGCCTTGCCCACAGACCTGCAGGCCCGCAGGCCCGCAGGCCCCTGGAATGCCAGCAGAGAAACAAAATCAGACACAAGCTCTTTGCAGCAGGGTTCTTAACAGTGAACCCTTCTTCTTCTTCTTCTTCTTTTTTTGTTTTTTCCTAATACCTTTGTTTATTTGTTTTTATTTTTATGGGGTGCCAGGGATCGAACCCAGTGCCTCACACATGCTCGGCAACTGCTCTGCCACTGAGCACAAGCCCCAGCCCCAGTGAACCCTTCTTATTTGTGTATTTGAAAATTCTCTCTGGGTGAAGTGCTAATTGTTTTTTAATATAAAAAACCCAATTTTATTCTCAATAATGTTTCCCACCATGGGCTGGGGTTGTGGCTCAGGGGTAGAGTGCTCACCTAGCACGTGCGGGATGCTGGGTTCGATCCTCAGCGCCACATAAAAATAAAATAAAGGTATTGTGTCCAGCTACAACTAAAACAAAATATTTTTTTAAAAAATGTTTCCCATCTTCACCTATTGACAAGCTATCCCTTTTATCATAAAGTTTGATTTGAATTTGAATATACCTCAAGCATCTAATTCAAATTTATTTTTCTACAATCAGCATTTTTATTTTTTTATTTTAAGATGGGATCTAACTATGTTGCCCTGGATAGCCTCAAACTCAACAATCCTCCTGCCTTAGCCTCCCAAGTAGCTAGGACTACAGGCCCGTGCCACCACACCTAGTTGTAGTATTTTAATATCCAGTCAATTCCTCTCCTTGATATGAGCCTCTATCATTATTCCAAATGAACAGTCGTTTCTCACAGTATTTCTATTCTGACTTACCCTATTACAGTTTATTTTTTAAGTCCTCTCTGGGTCTAAACTCTTGCAACTCAAGCCTTTTCTATGCTTTCTGCAAAAATTTTCTTTCCAGGGCTGCCGAATATAGTTCTTTGGGTTGTACACTGCACAATCACATGGTTGCTATCACATCAGAATCCTGCAACTCAGATTTTCATATTTTCTTTATTGTATCTTTTTTATTTTTAACTGAGGATTGAACTGAGGGGTGGTTTATCACTGAGTTACATACCTAGCCCTTTTTTTGTATTTTGTTATTGTGAGACAGGGTCTCACTAAGTTGCTGAGATTGGCCTCAAACTTGTGATCCTCTTGCCTCAGCCTCCCAACTAGCTGGGATTACAGGCATGTGCCACCATACCTGGCTGCAGTGGTTTTCTAAGATGCACATTGGCTTCTATTTCTACCATCTCTGAAATTGTGGTGTACTTGTTGTGCATGCTCTTAATTAGCAATGTTAGGAACTGTGATGTTACATATCTTACCATATCTGGTGAGTCCTCACAGCAAGTGGCCGGGATCTGAAGCCAGTGAGACAAACCCACACCTATAGTTTAATACAGAAAAAAAAATATATATATATATATATTGGGAGGGACCCCTAGGTCAAGTCATCTGGAGAAAGGAAAACACCTTGACCATAGGGCATGGGCATGGGCATGTGTGTGTGTGCATGTGGACACAAAAGCATGTGGGTGGGGTGGAGCCAGGGAAAACAGGGACTGCAGCCTGAGGAGAGGGTAGGACCCACCCAGCTTCCCTCTTGCCCAGCTTTTCCTCCTGGAGGAGATGCGAGAGCGGAAGTTCGACGGCTTTGCCCGCACCATTCAGAAGGCCTGGAGGCGCCACGTGGCGGTACGGAAGTACCAAGAGATGCGGGAGGAAGGTGAGCTGCTTGGGGTGGGAGACTCAGGGTGGGCACAGATGGATGTAGAAGAGCCACACCTTGACCTCTGCCCTGACCCCATGTTAACAGCTTCAAACATCCTGCTCAACAAGAAGGAACGGAGGAGGAACAGCATTAATCGGAACTTCGTCGGGGACTACCTGGGGCTGGAGGAACGGCCAGAGCTACGTCAGTTCCTGGGCAAGAGGGAGCGTGTGGACTTTGCAGACTCGGTCACCAAGTATGACCGGCGCTTCAAGGTGAGGCCCTAGCAGGTGGGCACATCCAAGACCCTGTCCCTGCTTGAACCAGAAGCACTGCCACCTGTCCCGGACACACTCAGCCACAGGTAGATATTCACCTAGGCTGTGCCTGGGTACACGTGTCTAACACAGATACACTACCCTGGCCCAGACACAGTGGTCAACAGGTATTCGCTCCAACATCTCAGATGTAGGCGTCCATCAAATATGCTTTCATGTAGCCCAGACACGCCTGACCATTAGATATGCCCTTTCCTGGCCAGGCACATCTGTCCACAATTACACATTCATCTCACCCAGAAGCCCACTGCAGGGCTGGGAATGTAGCTCAGTGGTAGAGCACATGCTTAGCATGTGCAAGGTCCCAGGTTCCATCCTCAGCATTTAAAAAAAATGCCTCAGTCACAAGACCCAAGCACTGTCACCTGGTCCAAGAGCTGTCCTTGAGCCAGGGTACCAAGATCCAGCAAGTGCTTCACCTACCTTGTACCCATTTGCTGGCCCAGTCACCCCTTTTGAGCGGATATACCCTCACTCAGCTTTCTTCTGTTTCTGATATAACTCATATACCTTTACCTGGAGGGACCCCTTCACCTTCACTTCACCACCCCTGCACCTGGGCCCAGGCTGCTCATGCCCCAGGCTCCAGCCACCACCAGCCTCTGGTTCTGCATTCCCACAGCCCATCAAGCGGGACTTGATCCTGACCCCCAAGTGTGTGTATGTGATTGGGCGAGAGAAGGTGAAGAAAGGACCAGAGAAGGGCCAAGTGCGTGAGGTCCTGAAGAAGAAGCTGGAGATTCAGGCCCTGCGGGGAGTCTCCCTCAGGTGAGGCCAGGTCACCTGTGATCTTCAGCTGCTCTCACACTTGTTGCCCCACTGTTACCCTGAGAGTCTTACCTACGGCTGTACCTGTAGCCCTCTCTTTGGCCCTACCTGCCACATTCACTTGCTCCTACATTCAAGATCCTTATGCCTCGACAGCTTCGGTCCTTGCACTCATTCTCCTACTAGACTTCACCCAGCCCTTCTCTATTACCAACTTTCCCCGCTCCCCCGTTCCCTCACCTGTGTCAACCCCTCACTTGACCCTTACCTGACAGTCCGTCCCTTGTTGCAGCTCACAAGTTAGTTCTTCCGCCACCCTCACCTGTCGCTCTCGCCTGCCTTTCCTCCCACTTCCCCCAGCACGCGACAGGACGACTTCTTCATCCTCCAAGAGGACGCGGCTGACAGCTTCCTGGAGAGCGTCTTCAAGACCGAGTTCGTCAGCCTTCTGTGCAAGCGCTTCGAGGAGGCGGCACGGAGGCCCCTGCCCCTTACCTTCAGCGACACGTACGCCCCTGCCCCAGCATCATCCTCGGGCTGGTCTTGGCGCAGCGACCCACTCTCCAGTCCCAGGGACCCAGGACCCGAGCGCCCGGCGCCTTGCCCCTCCCTCCGCGGCCGGGAGAGGGGGGGAGAGGGACCCCAGCTAGCGGCCCAAGCTTCCTCTTCTTCCCGCAGACTACAGTTCCGGGTGAAGAAGGAGGGCTGGGGCGGAGGCAGCACTCGCAGCGTCACCTTTTCCCGCGGCTCAGGAGACATAGCGGTACTCAAGGCTGGCGGCAAAACCCTCACGGTCAGCGTGGGCGACGGACTGCCCAAGAGCTCCAGTGAGTCTGCGCGGAACCGGGGGCGGAGCCAACGAGGGAGACCAATCACGGCTAGGGGATGGTCGGGAATGCGCAAGAGCCCCACGGCGGGCCTAGGGAGACAGAAGAGGACGCTGCGTTAGAGACGCGACCAATGAGTGGGAGAGAAGTGTGGGAGGGCGTGGCCAAAGGGGCAACCCTACAACTGGCAGATGGCGGGGGCGTGTCCGGGAGTGGGAGGGCCCAAGGGAAAGGGCCAGTGAGGGGTGGAGCCCAGGGGGGCGTGGCCAATTACTGGGGCGGGCTCCAGGGCCTAAGCCTGCCCTACAGTCAATGGAGTCCAACAAGCACTGTAGCTCACGATCTTCTGTCCAGATGTCAGTGCTGAGGGGAGAGCAAAGGGCCTGAGGGGCGGTGCCTGGAGTCGAGCCAGAATGGAGGGGACTTGTGGGCGGGGCCTACAATCAGGTGCAGCTGAGCCACCACCCAAATACCTGCATCCTTTCTTCTTTTAGAGCCTACACGCAAGGGAATGGCCCAGGGAAGACCCCGAAGGTCAGCCCCGGCCCCTACCCGGGCGGCCCCTGGCCCCCCCAGAGGTGAGAAGATACCCCTCACTTAGTGTCTTCATTTTCCTCTCGCGGGCTCCAGGGCCTAAGCCTGACCTACAGTCAATGGAGTCCAACAAGCACTGTAGCTCACTATCTTCTGTCCAGAACTTTCCAAGCTCCCCATCTCCCACAGAATACAGGCTAAATTTAGTTTGATATTCAAAGCCCGTCAAGATCCCATTCCAGGGCTGGGGCTGGGGCTCAGTGCTAGAGTGCTCTTCTGGCAAGTGTGAGGCCCTGGGCTTGAGCCTCAGCATCACATAAATAAAATTAAAGGTATTGAGTCCACCTGTAACTAAAAATATATGTATTAAAAAAGATCCCATCCCAGCTAGCCAGTGAGTGACCTCTTCGCCCATCCTATGCCCCTGCCATGCAAAATACATTTTCTTATGCAAACTACATTTTATTTTGCCAACTCACCAAATTTATTCTTACCTCCAGGCCTTCACTTGGGCTATTTACTCTGCCTTGTCTCCCAAATCCCCACACTTGATGAGCTCTGATTTATCCTCCAAGACCCACCCACAAAAGCCCTCCTGCGGGGGCAGGATGTTCTTCTGCAAAGCCTCCCTTTAGACCTTCATGTCTCCAGGGTTCCTCCCATACTGGGCTGAGTGTGGCTGCCTCCGCCCTCCTGAAATACAGATAATTCCTCCCTGACAGACACCCTGATCTTTGCTTCCACCACAGGCCTGGACCGAAATGGTGTGCCTCCCTCTGCCAGAGGGGGGCCCCTGCCCCTGGAAATCACATCTGGAGGGGGCTCCCAGCGGCCTCCCCGGGGTCCTCCATCCTCAACCCTGGGGTCCAGTAGACGTCCCCGGGCACGGCCACCCTCAGAGCACAACACAGAATTCCTCAATGTGCCTGACCAGGGTGTGGCAGGGTAGGTGGGGTGGGAGGGCAGCCCCAGGAGGTGGGCAGAGGTAAGGGAGTGTCTGGTGCTGTGATGAGCACCCCCTTGTCTCCCCAGCATGCAGAGGAAGCGCAGCGTTGGGCAGAGACCTGTGCCTGGTGTGGGCCGACCCAAGCCCCAACCACGTGTACATGGCCCAAGGTGCCGGGCACTATACCAGTACATAGGCCAAGATGTCGATGAGTTGAGCTTCAATGTGAATGAAGTCATCGAGATCCTCATGGAAGGTGTGTGCACCAGGGCAGAGGTTGGGGTATGGCATGGTCAGAACCCTGACACCACCAGGCTGCCCCCCATTGTTGCACATCCTTCCCATCCATGTGAAAACAGAAGCCACTAGCTTACAGCTCTGAGCAACACCTTCCATGCCAGTGGCATGGCTGCACGGGCTGGAGCGCACTGGCTGTGAAGGTCAGTTCCTAAGCCACCTCGGGGCTCTGGCCTCACTGCATCACAACTGGTCCCTGACCCTCATTTTTCTTACTTGTCACATATTTCTAGTAGCAGAACCTACTTTAAAGGGGAAAGAAGCTGCATCTGGAGGGCCCAAGCCCCTCCTACCTTAATTCCCTGGGCTGCCTCCAGCAGAGCCTAGGACTTAGGACACACTCTACAGACAGATGTGGGAGCCTCCTAGGGTCTCAGAGACCTGTTCATTCCTGGGTTCACTCTGGGGGTTGGAGGAAGGAGCCTGTTGAAGGCGATGGATAAGGGATGAGCACAACAAATGGTTTAAAAAATGACAGGGCTGGGGGTATGGCTCAGTGGTAGAGTGCTTGCCTACCATGAGCAAGGCCCTGGGTTCCATCCCCATCACCACAAGAAAGAAAAAGGGAAGAAAGAAAGAAAATGACTATGTGAGACAGTGGTTAGGAAAGACATTCCTCCCTCCTTCCTTTCTTTCCATTATTAACAACTCTCCCTTGTGTCAAATCAAGGATGCAGAGATAAGTAAGACACAGAACTGGCATGGGGGTTCTCTCCAGGGTAGCTGGGCATCACCCCAAGCTCTCTTCTCTCACACAGATTCTTCAGGTTGGTGGAAGGGCCGCCTACATGGCCAGGAGGGTCTTTTCCCCGGAAACTACGTGGAGAAGATCTGAGCCGGGAACATGGGATTGTGTCCTCCACCTGCTCGCCTGTCTGTCAGGATCCAGGCTGTGCCAGCAGAGTCTGGATTACTTTGGCTGCATTGGCCAGAAAGTCCAGTTCCGTGGCCTCCATCCCATCCCAGACTGTGGGTCTGAAGAGTCACTGCTGCAGCAACCCTCCTAGGCTCTGGCCTCCTTCCTATCACACCTGCTGCCAAAGTCTGTATTTCTTCTTGTATCAAACACGGCTAACAGCAGAACCTACCTCCCAGCTGCCTTATGTTTATGAAATGAATGTCCTAGGCTGTTGACCAAATGCCGGGCATAGTCCAGGGTGAAGGGGCCTTGACAAGTGGGACTTCCCCCTTCTCTCATCATAGGCAATAAATATGTGCCTGGTGAAAGAGTGAATTAAAATCATTGAGTATCCACAAGGACTGTGTTCTCACAACCCTGTGAGGTGGGAGCAGTGAATGCCCCCACTTTGCAGGTAGACAAATAGAGGCTCAGAGAGGTTCAGCCTCTTATCCAAGACTCAACAGAGCCCCTCTCACCAAAGGTTGAATTTGTCCCACTTTCCTTTCCAGAAATTGCATCCTAAATGATCCAACAGATGCTGTCAACCTCTAAATCTGCAGCCCTCAAACTCATCTGGAACCTCAGTAAACCGTCAGGCAGGAGGCAGGTTCCACATGGTTCCCTGCAAGCCACCCTGGGTCACCCCTGGCCCCTGCCCCACCATCCTATATATATGCTCTCTTAGTCTTTATTCACCTGGGGTCAGGACCAGTTCTGACATTCTGATGGATTCTGAGTATTCCAGGGCTCCCTGTTGGGGCAGCTGTAACTGGCAGGGAGACCTGCTACTGCGTGAGCCTAAAGATCCAGGCTTTCCATTCTGGACACCCCCTCTGTCCTCAGCCCCTCAAGGAGCAGCCAGTCTGGGAGGAACATGGACAGACTGATGGATTCAGTACAGAGGAGACACAGATGGCATTGCTGGAGGAGTCCGGAAGGCTGAAGAGGGTTGGTCTCAGTAGATCCTGGCTACAAGCATGACACTGTTCTAAGCCATGACAAGGACATTCCAGGCAGTGGACACCTGAACCACTGGAGAATAAAGGATGAGACATCCAAGAAAGAATGTCCAACAGAGAAGATCCCTACCTTCTCTCCTCTACATTTACCTTGAGAAGCCAAGCTGGGCTGGGAAAAAAAAAAAAAAAAAAAGATCACAAGGCTGCAAACGGGTCTCAACAGCCCTATTATTGGTCAATCATTCTGCAAAAGCATTTAATAATCCCTTGAATGTCTCTGCTCCACTCCATCTCTGAGATTCTTTATTCCAGCACAACCACCACTATGTGCTTGCCTGTCTGTAAGACCTTGGTGTGAGGACAGGCTGGAAGAGGACACTGTCACTCATCAACATCTTGGGTTGGGCATTTCCTGAGCACAAAAGAAGAATCAGGGCTTTATCTCCCTTCTCTGCCCTCAAACTTATCATGTAGGCTGCCCTCCCTTCTGGCACTTTGAGGTTCAGCCCTATGGTCCCACTGCCATTGAGGGTACCCCATTTTCAGGAAGTAAGGCCTTCTGGGCAGAATGGATGGATAAGGGTTGGGCAGGACATTAGTGATGGAGAAGCGGTTGAGTGTGGTATATTTTAACAGACAGCATCTCATATCTAGGTTACAAGAATCTTCAGGCTGCAAACCTCAATCACCTTGGCCGCACCCGCTGCTCAATGCCACATCCTGTGGACTCTCACAAAATTTCTTAATTTGGGTCCCTCCTCTGAGTTCCTTGGGGCCCAGTCCCTTCTGAGGCCTCCCCCCATCCTTCCTCAGATTATATCACCCTCCCCAGAGTGCAAGTGCAACATCCCTCTCCACCTGGCACCAAAATGACTTTTTGTTTTCTTAAAACTTAATGAATTTTTATCTGAATGGTAATTAAAAGAAAAAATTTATTAAAATAGCATCAAAGTGTGAAAAGTTAATCCCTTAAAAATTCCTACTCCCCACCTCAGAATTTTGGGGGGGGGGGGTGTTGTTGTTTTCAGTGCTGAGGATCAAACCCAAGGCCTTGAGCATGCTAAGCAAGCACTCTTCCACTGAGCAACACCCCAGCCCTGTTTGTTGCTTTTGTTTGCTGGTGCTGAGGATTGAACCAGGGCCTGGAATATACTAAGCACATGCTCCTTTCCCGTTTTTTTTTTTTTTTGTTGTTGTTGTTGTTGTTTTGTTTTGTTGGTTTGTTTTCAGGTACTATGGATTGAACCCAGGGATGCTCGGCCACTGAGCTACATTCCCAACCATTCTTATTTTTTATTTTAAGACAGAGTCTGCCAAGTTGCTCAGGCTGGCTTTGAACTTGGCTACAAAAGCATTTAACAATTCTTTGACTATTTCTGGTCCTCTCCCAGGTATGACACATCTATAATCCCAGTGTCTGGGATTACAGATGTGTCATACCTGGCTCCTCCCATTTTCAAATACCTCCTATTATCTTCCCTGCATATAAAAGCACAGAAGCACATCTTGTTTTACATATATAGAAATACACTGCATATAAAGTCCACACTTGCCTGAGACTCAACACTTCTCGGACTGACTGATGTATTGTAGAGATTTGCAATTAAGGGTCTATTTTACTCTCTGGCCTAAAAACTCATCTTCCAAATGATCACCAGGGATCAAATGTTGTACCTCCTTCCGCTACAAATTCATCAGTGATTTTACTACAAATCATAATCGAGGGCCTGCAAGCCCCATCCTGCACCATATTCACTTTCTGACCCCTATATGCTGCCCTCATTCTGCTCCAGCAGTGCAAAGGGATTCTATTTCTTGATAAACAAGCTTATCCCTCCCCATCACAGGACATTTGTACCAGCTTCCCTGAGCACAGTACTTACTTGACCTTCCATTCACTCCTTCTTGACCAGCAGGTGACAACTCAGAAGTCACCACCTCATCACTGTGACAACCTTCTGTTTTATTTGTTTTCTTCTTTGGGCTGAATAGAACCCAAGATCAGTTTCTCCATTTGACTACTTCCCCATTTTAAGGTTTGAGTTCTGGAGCAGGGATTCTTGTCTGTCCCATTCACACCTGGATCCCCAACGCCTAGATGGGTACCTAGCACAAAGAAAGATAGACAAAATCCACTCCACACCAGTGCACACTGGGCTCCGCATACTTACTCCAGGAACCACACCTCGCCACCCTGAGGTTTCATCCCTTTATTAAGCCTAAAGACCAAAAATCAGCTTCCTTCCTGCACTTGGCTATTACTTCAATTATTGAACTAGGTGCACTGAAAAACTTCATTACTGTTGCCAATTTTCTCCAAGAAGGACCAATTAAAAGAAAAACTGTTGTTTATAGCCTTTGGAGGGCTGACGATGGAAAAGGCCAAAAGGGCATGAAGTTGCTCATTTTGCAAACGATCGGAGAGCTTCCTCACGCCGGATCTCTGTACTTTGCCCCAGCCTTTGGCTCATAAATCGGCCAGCACTAGTCCACGCGACGGTCTAGGACTCGAGCCTCAGGCCCCGCCCACTGGAGGACAGCACCGAGCAGGCTCCGCCCTTCTCTCGCGAGAGTTGAGAGGCGGAAAATGGCGCCGACATGAATGCGAACCCGCATTGCCGAGAAAGTAGCCGCCTCCTGAGTTGGAGCCGCCGGAGCCGCATGAACCAGAGATCGAGCAGTCGAGGATGGTGAGCGCAGCGCCGGGGGAGAGGGCGCGGTACCGCAGCGAGGACTGGCAGGGAGCGATCCCGTCGCATACACACCCTCCGACCGACCCCGCCCTCACATCCGGGCACCCGCTCGCCGCTGGCTGTGGCTAGGCAAGCCCCCTGCCCCTACTTCTGGGCCTGGCCTCGGGTAGGCCACGCCCATCAGGCTCGGGCTCCTCCCGAGAGCCTCACACAGCGGGGCCCTGAGCGCCTCGAAGTTCAGCCACACAGCTGTAACCTGGCCAGGATATCCCCGTCATGCACAGTTCACTTCTGGAAACTCCAGCATCTTCCTAGCCGCGTCCTGTCCAGAGCCCCGACTTCATAGCTTTGCCTCCGCTCGCTCACTCTAATCTACCATCGACCTCTTAGGGCGCCTCCCACCTGTCGGAGCTGGAGACGCGGAGATGGTTCTTTTTAAGCGTAGCTTCCGACAGAGGCTGGAGCTCGGTCCACTCCTGCCTCCTTACCCTCTCTTGCTGATGATGTCCTAGAATGGGGCGGGTGGATAGTTTTGCAGGGTCTGGAATTCAGGAATGTTAAGCCTAGTGGTCCTTTCAGGGTGGGAGGGGCTTCCCTGCTGGCCCAGAGAAACCTGAGTACAGACTAGTTCTCTTCTACCAGGAGGAGGAACCGTCCGTGCCCAGCCCAGACTTGTTAGCCACTGCAGAGCCCAACTCCAGTGTGACCGACCAGGAGGTGGTGTCCCCAGTTGTGGCTGAGGCAACCACTTCTTCCTCCATGGAGGAGCCAGACCCTAATGGGACAGCCACACCCCCAGTTTGGGAACGTGGAGGGTTTGGAGGTACACAGCAGGGTGCCTCCCCAGCCCCAGACAGCTGCCAGACAGGCCCTGGACCCAGCCCTGTTTCGGGGACCAATGAGGACCTGCGGCCTCCCAGGCGACGCCCACCACCAGGTGACCTGTGATGGGGCCTACTGGGGGGTGTCACAACACAGGTCCCACATCAGGAAATGGGGAGTGCGGTATATGGCCAAACTAGGGGACATCTACAGGGATTTCTGTCGCCATTTACTGAGCACCAAGTGTATGCCGGTCTTTGGCTTCAATGAGGAACCAGATCAATCCAGCCCAGTACCCTTTGGCAGCTCATTCCTGTGGGGAACTTGCATAGTCCTGGGGGCCAGGGGCAGGCAGCATTCATGAGGAAGGGATCTGTGACCCTCACTCTGTATCCTGCAGGGAAACAAATACCCTGCTCTAGCCCTGGCTGCTGCCTCAGTTTCCCCAGTGTTCGTGACCTGGCACAGCATCTTCGTACCCACTGCCCGCCCACACAGTCCCTAGAAGGTAGGACCAAGGCAGATGGGGGGGAAGCAGGTTAGAGTGGGAAGCAAGCATTGCCCCCGTGGGCCAGCCTTGGCCACCCCACTCTTCCACTCTGCCCTTTGTCCCTGCCAGGCAAGCTCTTCCTCTGCTCAGCCCTCAGCTGCACCGAGAGCTTCCCCAGCATGCAGGAGCTGGTGGCGCACGGCAAGCTGCATTACAAGCCTAATCGCTACTTCAAGTGAGCTCCTGACCAGCCTGCCCTACCTCACCTTATGTGTGGGGTCCAAACCTTTTTCTATGGGGGTAGCGGAGGAGGGAGGCGGGGGCGGGGAAGTGGGCGTGGTCTCAGGCAAGAAGCGTGACCACCACTCTGTGTCTGGACTTACATGGGTGTAGGTCTGCCCAGCTCCTCTTCACCTCCCAAGTAGAAAACCAGCCTACTGAGTTAAAATTGAGACTTCCTTCTGCGTTGTCCCATAACTAACTCCAAACTGGGAGGGATCCAGAATGGTCACAATCCCCATAGGGGATTGGGGCAAGCTACTTCTCCACAGGTTGAGTGCCATCCAAGGTTTGGGACCTGGCTCCCTTCCACGTTGGCAGAACAGGTCCCCTGGTAGCAACGGTTGGCTTCCTTCTTATTGCTTGAGAGACAGCACAGCCCTGTGCCCGCCCCCCAGGTGTGAGAACTGCCTCCTTCGCTTCCGCACCCACCGCTCACTCTTCAAGCATCTGCATGTTTGTGCAGAGCATGCTCAGAGCCCAGCCCCACCACCACCCCCTGCCCTGGACAAAGAGCCACCTGCTCCCGAGCGTCCCCCGGAGTCCGACCCTTCTTCTGCGCCGGGCTTGCAATTTCCGCTGCTCGAGCCCTTCACAACCCCACCCTCTGCCTCCACTGGACCCTTTCTACCGTACTTGAACCCCGCGCCTTTTGGCCTAAGTCCTCCACGCCTGCGCCCCTTCCTGGCTGCTGCTCCAGGGCCACCAACTTCCAGCACAGCTGTCTGGAAAAAGAGCCAAGGTGAGTGTAGGGGCGGGCGGGGCCTCCCAAAGAACTGGCTGGGTTTGCCCTAACTCTGAATTTACCTGCCTCTTTCCTGTAGGTGCGGGCGGCAGCCCCCGAAGACCTCAGGGTGGCTCCGATGCGCCCTCAGGTGCGTGCAGGTGACCATCGGGGCCGGGTGGAGGGGCTTTCTTGCGCTCTGCCGGGCCCTGTGGATTCTGGGGGGCAGCAGTGCCCGTCCCTTTCCCAGGTGGCTAGAAGTGTCACCCCTTAAAATATATGATTTTGCCTTTAAAATTACTGGCACCTGCGCCTTAATCTGCGCCGGCGTTCCTGTGTAAAACTCGCGCCCCGTTCACCTGTGAGCGGTCTTCTCGGCCCCCCGCCCCAATCCCCTGCGATGGTTCGAGGATGGGAATAAGGGATTCAAATAAGCCAAGTTTAACGCCCTCAGTGACGGGCAAACAAGCCCAGGAGAAACTGATCCTGCCATGCCCGACCCTGGGCTTCCTGGAGCTGGGGAAAGGTCCAGCCTTCCCTCGCCCGCCTCCACCACCATTAGAGGACGGGTCCTCGGGTTTGGGGCCCGGGTCTGATGGGGTCCCGCCTGCCTGCCCGCAGGGCATGCGGCCCCGAGCCGCATCGTGTGGGAGCACACGCGCGGCCGCTACTCGTGCATGCAGTGCAACTTCTCCACGGCCTCGCGGCCCGCCATGACACTGCATCTGCAGGATCACCGCACCAGCGGCCCCGCAGCCCCTTCGCCTGGGCCGCCACGCCCCGACGCCCCGGCGGGTAAGGCGGAGGAATACACGAGTGGAGAGGGCGGGGAACCAGAGGCTAAGGGCGAGGCCAAGGCTCAGGCGCTCCCTCCTCTGCCTCTACCAGACCCGACCCCGCTTGCATCTAAAGTGTCACCGCTGCTGTCAGAGGGGGAACTTCCGGTTTTCTCACCTCTTTGAACCCCGCTGCTTTGGGAGTGGGCGGTGGGGTGTGGAGATTTTTGTAATTTTAAGGGGAACAATAAAGAAGGCGCAATGAGCCAGCCTGTGCTGTGTCTGGGTCCCTTGCCCCTCGGACGCGCAGTTACCTGCGCCTAGCATACCTGGGGCTCTCAGACCCCTGGAGGGGCACCTCAGGGTGGCTCCACAGGTGTTGGACCCTTCTTTTCACATTCCCTCTTAATCTCAATAGTGGAATCCAGGTCTCCACCAGAGGTAAGCAGGGCAACCTGTGCCCACCATCCCAGGCCACCACTTCCAGAAACCAGATAGGATGGAATTTTCCAGGTTTTTATGTATTTATTTAAGATGTCCCAAAAGTTGGGAAGACAGACTGAGATATTAGTCCTGAGAGTTCCAGGCAGGCCTGGCTGGATCCTCTGATCTTGAGGCCAGTACTGACTCAGGAAGAAAGGAGAAGCCTTTGAAGTCAGGAAGCAAAGGAGCTGTGCTAGAGCCCCCAGGGTGGGGTAGGACGGGGCCCAGGCCTGTTGTCATCCTTGCTGTCTTCAGGACCCTCTGCTGCTTCTGCCCTGCCCCATCTGTGTTCCCTGCTTCATCAGGAAAACCCATACTAGGGTCACAGTGCTATCAGCCCCGGGCATTGTTCACAGCTGCCCCTGGAGGCTAATTTTACCTCCTGCATCTTATTCCCTTCCTCTCTCCTCTCCAGTCTCTAGCTCAGGCCATAACTCTCCCACTCCTCAGGCAATAAGAAGGGACCTCTCTATCCATTGCTACCTGGCAAACTGTTCTGCCAGTCTCTTCTAGTGATGCCCCTCCCCTGCCCAGTACCCTTCAACAGCTCCCCATAACCCTTCTGAATGAAGATCCTGCTCTCCCAATAACACAAGTCCCCATCTTGAACCTCCCTTCCCAGGCCCACACTCAGTTATTTCCTCATCCTCTGCAAACAGACATCCTAATAGGAAGAACCCAAGGACCTCCTCCACCCCACCCCATCTTGTCCCACACTTCTTATCTCCCTCCCACTTACCCCTGAAAATCCACCTGGGCATTGTCCTCTATCACCCCTTCATCCTGACATCTGCAGCCAAGACATCATTCATCCACTGGGTGGGGCTTCCCAGGCCCTGCCCTTCCCAGTCTGCCATCTACTTCCCATCACTACCCATCTACTCGATGGGAAGTGATCCCCCAATCACCATTCTCACCTTTATCCTCAATGGAACCCTTGTCCCCCAGTGCATCCACCTCAAGCTGAGTGGAAGCCTTGGGGCAGCTACTCAAAATACCTGCTCTAGCAGCTCTGCTACTGTGTCACATTAGAGTGGGACAGTCCAGGCCCACAAGCCCTTCAGCTTCCGCAAGGGGCAGGTGGGAGATCTAGGCACCCTTCATGACCAAGCCCCCTAGACCCAGGTGCTTGTCTGTCTGCTAGGTAGCACACACTGCATATCTACTGTGCCAGCAGCTCAAGGGCCCTGCCAAGATGGTGTCATATGTGGGTCCCGAATGGCCACCAGGGGACACTGGAGCTCCAAGGTCCCCTGAACTTCACCTTTCTCAACCAGAAGCCTTGGAAACACAACTGTATGACCTGGGGCAGGGGGACTCAATTCCCTGCACCTCACTTTCCTAGTACTTGAAATAGGTGTCATGATGCTTGTGCTTTTGAGACTCATACTAAAAGGGGGCCGAGGTGAAGAGGAGGCTTGGGAAATGTCTGCTGAATCATTCACATCCCTCTGGCTACCAGTTCCATGGTTGCCTGGGATCCTGTCAAGAACTGGGAAGGAAGGTGAGCCTGGGTCAAGGAACCCGTGGTACAGATGGAGAAGGACTGGGGGCCCAGAGAATTAATGATGGCAAGCTCATTCTGGATCCTGACAGGCACCTGGCTGCACAGCTGCATAGCAGTGCCAGCTTGGCCAGAGACGACAGGCTCACCCTGAACAGGCTGAGCCGCTCCAGGAAGCTTAACTGCACTGAGACCAGCCAGATGCCAGTCCACTGCCAGGCAGCTGTCTGACAACAGCTCTGCCACCTGCAGATGCTGACCTGGTTATCCTCAGCTGAGGCTGAGAGAAAAGGTGAGGTCTCCTGGGGGCAGGTGGCATGTGTCAGTGGTGCCAAATGTCCCTATTCTGTCCCTCTCCTTCCCCACACAGTTCTACAGCTGCACTCCAAAGAAACCCCACTCTTCCAGGTCAACCCTAGCCCACCCTCACTTCAGGTTTCTGGTTCTGTACTGCAGTTGGTGCTGCCGAGTCATAGCTAAGACCTTAAAGACCTAGGCCAGGAGCCAAACACACAAAGGGAAGTGGGGTCACGCCCTCTGGTGGCCAGTGGTGGAAGCCTGCACACCTCACCTACTCACACCCCAGTAAACGGTGTGGGGGGTTACCCAGACACAATTTCAAATTCCTGGCTCAAGATGACCAGTCCCAAGCCCAGGGAATCCCCAGCTATCATTCATTCCTTGATCGTGCGCCTACTGTATGCTCTTGGTCAATACTCACTTGTTCATTGGTTCTTTTACCAGTCTTCCCCCACACTCACCTGTCCTGGAGACCCAGAAAGGAACCACATCTGGTCATCCTTGCCCCCTAAGAGGAGTCCTACTTTAAATGAGGGCCCATGTCTGGAAACAGTAACCCAGGATGAGGATGCACTGGCAGGAGGCCTTCGAATCCTGCCCATGTGTTCAAGACAAGAGGAGTCTCCCTCTCAGTCTCTGCAGGGTCTCTCTAGTTTAAATAAGCACAGGAAAATTCACCCAGTATGCATCAGCAGCCTGGGCACCACATGGGATCTGGCCCATCGCCTGGGTCAGAACCTGCACTTTAGAGTGACCAGTTCAATTTAGCCATGCATTTAAATCATCTGCCAGAGTCTGAAATAAAAACCCTTGCTCGGGCCTCATCTCAGACCAAGTAAGTCAGAATCTCTGGGAGACTGTAAACTGCTCAAGCAATTCCAACAGGTGGCCAAACTGAGAATCAGGGCTCTGCACTCTTCTGGTGGGTGTTTTTTCCCTATCTACTGAGACCAGGTCACAGATTCCTAATGGACTGAGCTCTGTGGACGGGGCTTGCCCTATTCTGGGAAGGCCTCTACACCCTATGTGCCTTCATCCCCTTTTCAGGACTCCAAGGGGCCACACTGCCCTTAGTTTTTATTGTGTCCAGTCTTAACGGTTCCTACTCTTTCCACTACCTTCAGTCACAGGGAATCTGGTGTGTCTTCACACCCCCTTCCTCCTTGGGGGCAAGATCTTTGACACCACTCACCCATCCACCCCCAAATTTCCATCCTACTTGAGTTCTCTGCCCTGGATACCTGCCCTAGCTTGTGGTGAATCTGTCACCCGAAAAGGGAAGTCCTGCTGAGAGTGGCGGAAGAAGTGTGGAAATGAGGAAGGCTGGTGAGGCAATAAGGGCAGGCAAATGTGGGCTCACCACCCCACTGCCCCCATGTCCTGGATCTCCCCACCTCCCTGGTGGCCTCCTAAGTCCCACAGCCAACTGTACCCCTCCACACCAAGATGTCCCCCTCCTGTGGCTCTCCAGTCCTGGCTGAATTTTGTCTTGGCCTGTCTCTTTGCAGGTAGGTCACCAAGGCCTGGAACTCAAGTCTTGAGATCAGGACACAAAAGTGGTATGAGTTAAGAGGGACAGAGGAGAATCAAGAAACTAGTGACAACTATTGACTGTGTTGGGGATATGCTGATGCCCAATGCATTAATTGCAAGGACACCAGCAGGCAAGACAGGAACTACCTCAAGGGAAGACAGAAGTGTCCTCAAAGGATCTGGGGACAGACCAGAGCCGTCTCCGCCTACTTTCCTTCCTCCTCTGTCTTCCCCACCCTCACAGCAGCCCCCACCTTGTGTGCTGGCCTGTAGAGCAGAAGCCACAGATACTTCCTGAAGGCAACAACCTCAGCTCAGAGCCCACCACCCTGTAGCTCATCATCAGCCTGCAACCATGGTGAGTCCCCAAGCCCCAGGACAGGCCCATACTGGCCTGGAAGCAAAATCATAGCAGGTAGAAATTGGAGTGGCAGAGTGGGGCTGGGAAATGGGAATGTCCCACACCAAGCCCCTAAGGTAGGAAGCAGTCAGGGCACAGCTCTAGGACACGGTTCAGGCTCCTGTGGCCCAGGCTTAAGTTGTAACTGCAGCGGGGATGAGTGGGACTGCCTGGGAAGACTCCCCTTTCCCTAGATCAACATGATCAGCAAGCAGGGAACATGAAGCCAGGATGAAGAGAGAAGCTTCCTATGGGGTGACTAAGTGGGTCACGAACTCTGGCCCCTGCCATTACCCAGTCACTCACGTTGTGACCTGCTGATCATGACTTATCCAGCCTTGGGTTCACCTGGGAATCTTTGCCTCAACCCATCCAGGTTGGGAGTTTCAAAAGAGGAATTTCAGGGCCCAGGCAGGAATCATCATCTTTGCATGGGGAACTCATCCTGGACCTCTGGATGAGGAAAAAAGGCACAGGGAGAGGCAGGGGCCACATGCTTCCGCCCTTTCCTCCCCCAATCTCCTTGACCCCAAGTGAAGACAGGTTTGAGGGCCCAAGGCGGTGTCCCCTCAGAGGAAGCCTGGCCTTCTTGTCCATCTGTGGAAGTTGTCTGTGACCCATGGTTCAGGGTCAGCTTCAAGGACACCTGGAGACCATGTGGTACATGTGCCTAATGGGTGCCTGTGGGTGGGAGCCTACCTGCTCATCCTCATGGAGGCTGTCAACTCTGAGACTCCTTCACAGGCAGTCCAGGTGTCAAGAGATTGTGAGCTAAGTACCTACATATGCCTCCAGATCTGTGATGGTCAGACTGAGTATATGTCTGTCTCTGTGGCTCTGTGTAGTCTTTATGTCTGAAAATATTTACTGAACACTTACTATGTGCCAGGCACTGGGAGGTCAGCAATGAATAGGCCATAGGGACTAGGGGAATTCAGTGTGTGTGAGCGCTTGCCCAGCATGTACCAGACCCTGGGTTCAATCCCCAACACCAAAACCAAACAACAACAAAACAACTACAACAACAACAACAAAAGCAACAACCCAGTCAAGGAATATTTTTTAAAACCAATGCAGTAGAATTAGTATGTGGTGGCAGATATGAACAGCCACACAGACTGGGGATAATGGGGAGCACTAAAAGGGAGTCCTCCATAATTTAAAGAGATATTGGGTCAAGACTCGGAAAGAGAAAGGAGACCCCAACATGATGGAGAGACATGTCCCAAATGAGGGGTGGGGCAGAGCTCCCAAGGTGGAAGGGAGAGGGAAGAGGCTGGGTCGTTCAGGGCCTTCAGGAGACCATTTGCTTTTCCTGGGATGATGAGTTATCATTGGGCAGTTTTTTGGCAGGTTTCCTCCAGCTGCTGTGGGGGAACTGAGTTAGGCTGGGGGCTACAGGCAGCAGACCAGGGAGGAGCCTGTTATAATACTCTGGGAAGTTGGTGGGAAGGTTCCTCCCGCTAGGGTTTCAGCGGTGGAGGCAGTGAGAAGTGGCTGGAATCCGGATGTATTTTGAAATGAGAACAGAAAGGCCTGGGAGGACACGGGGAAGGGAGGGGAGGAGATGTGGAGGGAGGGGAGGTGAAGGGAGGGGGTCAAGGATGCTGACTGGGAGGCTGTTGGGGCCACTAGATGGGGAAGAGGCATCAGTAGCAGCTCCAGTCCTGCTGAGATCTAAGTGGTCAAGTCAGGAGGGTGTGGTTTTCAGGGACTAGGGTCAAGAGGGCAGTTCTTGGCCAAGAAAAGAAGTAGCCCAAGGGCTGGAGTCAAGAAGAGGGGGAGGCAAAACAGGAGAGGGAAGGGGATGGTGATGATGGGTTTGTCTGTGACTGACCATGTCCATGGGTACCCAGGTCTGTCTCTCCATTATGCTCTGTGTGTAAAAGCCCCTGCCTGACATTCCATGTCCCCTAGGGGAGCCATAAGGATTTCCGGAGCCTCCAAGCCAAGTTCCAGGCCTCTCAATCAGAGCCTAATGGACTTCCTAAAAAGCCCCCAAAGCCAGAGTTCAACAAACTCCTGAGTAAGTTTCCACATCCTGAGCTAAGTGAGCAGCCCCAAAAGCCCTTGCAGCCTGATGTCAGTGAAGCCCCTCAAAAGATCAGTACAGCGTCCTTGAGGCCTCCGCAGCCCCAATTTGCTGATCTCCCCAAGAAGCCTTTGAAGCCTGAGTTTACTCATCTCCCCAAGAAGCCCCAACAGCCGGAGTTCACTGATCTCCCCAAGAAACCCCAGCAAACTGAGTTTACTGATCTCCCCAATAAGGCCTCCAAACCTGAATTCACTGATCTCCCCAAGAAATTCCCACAACTTGAGTCCACTCCATTTCTCAGGAAGCCCCTACAGCCCGAGGTCAGTGAGGCTCCTCAGAAGGTCTGGCAGTCAGAGCCCAGCACACTTGTCAAGAAGCCCCCCCAACCAGAGCTCAGCAACCCCGCCAAGTCCCCTGTAGAACCCAAACTCAGCACATTCCCCAAGAAGCCCCCACAGCCTGAATTCAAATTCAGTGTGCACCCCAGGAAGCCCCAACAGCCTCAGGCTGGTAGCTTCCCAAGAAAGTCCCTACCACAACAGCCTGAATTCTCTGAAGTCCCTCAGTCGCTTCCCTCAAAGTCTGGGCCCAGTGAGCCCCAACTCCTTTCCCCAAAGCCTGACCTCAATACCTCACCAAAGAAGCCCCCACAGCCTCAGACTAGTGACCTCCATAAATTCTTGACACAGCCTGAGCTTAGAGAGGTCCTTCAAAAGACCCCCCTGGAGAAGTCTGAGCTCAGTGAACCCCATCCCCACTACCTGCAGCCAGGCCTCAGTGCATTTCCCAAGAAGCCCCCACAGCTTCAGCCAAGTGACCTCCCCAAGAAGGTCCTGCAGCCTGAATTCAGTGACCTTACCAGGACTTCCTCAGAACCTGAAGTATTTGTGCTTCCCAAGAAGCCAAGGCAGCTTGAGTTCAAAGCACTTTCCAAGATGACCCCAAAGGCAGAGCTGGGCAGTCTCCCCAGGACCTCCTCAGAACCAGAGTTCAGCTCATTGCCCAAGAAGTTTCAGCAGCCTGAGCGCCAAGGGCCACCTCGCAAGTTCTCCCAGCCTGAGCCCAACGATCTGCCCAAGAAGCACCTACAGCCTAAATTCTTCAGGGATCTTTCCAGAAAGCCCCCACTTTTGGGCTCAGTTTCTGAGAGCTCACTGCCCTCTGCCACCTTGGGCTCCAGCCCCCGGTACCCACTCAGCCCTGGATTTGGAGCCACTAGGGCACCCCGCTGGAGGTCAGAAGACTTCAAAGCTCACAACCCACCCCAGCGGAGGCCACTGCCCCCAGCCAGCATCCTGGGACCACCTCCAGCCAAACCCCCACTGCCCCCAGTCCCCATGGATATTCAGAGCTTTCGGAGATCCTCAGCAGCATCCACAGGTGAGTCAAGATGGGCTGCACAAATAGAAACGAGGGGGCTAAGGCTCCTGGGCAGTGCCATCTCCCTCCCATGCTCTCCCCCCACCCCCACTCCACAGCTCTGCGGAGGACTCGCTCATCCGCTGGGACCCACTTCCTGGCCCAACAACCTAAAGACTTCCCATGGTGAGTGAAGGGACGAAAGAGGGGGAGGCCAGGCACCCTTTATGGGCTGAAGGAGACCCTCATCTCAGGTATCCCTGTAGGGACCCGGACGAGACTTATGAACTATATGACAACGTAGAGCCCACGGAGGATTCAGGCCCCAGCCCCAGAGGCAGAGGTTTGTTGGTGGTCTGCTCAGGGTCCTATAAAGCACTGGTTGCAAGGGCATCTTCTGCCATGTTCCTGGTATAAGGAACCAAAAGCAAGGGACCCCAGAGGCTCACGGTTGAGGAAAGGTAGGCAGCAGTGTAGCCCAGGGTGATAGCAGAAGGCATGTACAACAATGGAAGAATCCAGAGATCAAAGATGCAAATGGGACTTAAGTGTGAGTGAGCCGAACACATGGTTGGGTCCCAAGTATAAAGTAAGCCTAGTCTTCAGGTACACAGTGGAGCCAACCCAGGGTTAGGGACAAGTTGCTATGTTCCACATTAGACATGTGTTTGAGATACCAAGGGATGTCTGAGCCTAGACTCAGGAGAGAGACGGAGTAGAGACAGGTATAGCAGTGGTGGGAAGGGAGGCCACTCTGCTCTAGATTCTAAAAGACCCTTCTTCCTGCTCCTGGAGGGCAGGGTCAAGCCCTAGTAGGCCTATGCCTCCAGGCTGCAGGAGTTTTGAGAGTTTGGCTGAGAGTGAAGTGGCAGCAGCCCTGACCAGACTGTCTTTCCATAGCCTAATCTAAGAACAGCCCCCAAAACCAGCAAGGACCTTCCCTGGCAACAGTAAGGGATTCCATGCAAGCACTCGGCTGATCCTGCAGCCCATACTCCCATCCTGCACCAAGGCAGTATCACCTCCCCCACCCCCTGCCATTTCACTGACAGTTTGAGGATCTGAAAGTTGCCCAAGCCACAGCCAATGTGGGAGCTTCAGTCAGACCCTCCTGCTCCACTCCACCATCTCTCAGGGAGGCGTTCTACAGGAAATCTGGCCTTGAGAGTGCTCCTGCTCTGCCCCCCAGCCAGAGGTTCTGGTTCAAAACGTAGCTGGCTGCCTCCTGAGTCCCTGACGCCTGCTCCTTCCTGGGCCCCCTTCTGCTTCTCCTGAGTGACCCCCAAGACCTGCTTTCAACACCTCCTTAGCACACAGCTTCCTGGCAAGGCCCCTTCTATTTCCGCTCCTGGGAGGATCTGTGGCTGCTGGGTAGAAGCCTGGCTGACACTGTGGTCTTGGCAAGGAGGTCAAGCCGAGTGCAAGTAGGGTGGGTGGGTACAATGCTGATGCCACTCGGAAGGCTGCGGGGGAGGGTGCAGACGGGCACTGCTGACCTGAAACACCCAATGACACAACAGGTCATTCAGAGAGGACAAGCTGTGGCCCCAGGTTCAGGCCTTTTACTCACCTGAGCTTCTGGAAGATCCTGCCATAAGACGTACCCTTGACCAGCAGGGCTTGTACCCCAAAGCCTGGTAAACCACTGCTGCCAAGTGGCATAAGTCAGACCTCACTCTGGGGTGACTCCTCCATGCAGTCTCCTCATCAGCCAGGCCAGGACAAGAAACTCACCTGGGTATCCCCTTCTCAGAGGTGGTATTTGCTTGCCTCTAGGAATGCTTGCCTTTGTTTACTTTTTGACCCAAATCTCATTACAATTCCCAACCTGTTCTAGGCAGCAAAAACAAAGTCACCCTAGAAGTCTATATTAAATCCCTCCTTTAACCACTTATGATCTGATGACCCTAGACAGAACCAACACACAGTAGTCTCACTCAAGATGGAGCCACTGGAGTAGGCTGAGCTGGGGGTCTGTGATTTGACTTGGTGTTTTGACTGCCCCCAGATGAAGTGCTGTGTGCTCAGCAAGCCACCAGGAGGCACTCACAGGACCCAGAGCTCAGGTACTCCAGGGCAAAGGGGTGGGATAAAGGTGAGGTTGAATTAACAGAAGCATGAAAGTAGAACCCATCTTGCTCATAAGCACCCCAATTATTGGGGGGATGAGGAAGGAGAAGGCCCCACAGACACAGCAGTTGCCACCTACGGATCCAAAGCTGCTAAAGCAGATCAGGAAAGCAGAGAAAGCTGAGAGGGAGTTCCGGAAGAAGTTCAAGGTAGGGACACAAGAGTCTGGGAGGGCTGGGACCAGATCCCCGGAGTCCCATCCTCAGAAAGAAGACGGGGTATATGTGGGGTGACCGCATGAGCAAAAGCTCTAATATCTTGTCCCCAAGTTTGAAGGGGAGATTGTGGTTCACACAAGGATGATGATTGACCCCAATGCCAAGACCCGTCGTGGAGGTGGCAAACATCTGGGAATCCGGCGTGGAGAAATTCTGGAGGTGATCGAGTTCACCAGCAAGGAGGAGATGCTGTGTCGGGACCCCAAGGGCAAGTGTAAGTGAACCTAGCCCCAAAACCCTGGGGAGGGAGGACACCTCAGACTGAGAACCCACCATGTCTACTTTCTTCACAGATGGCTATGTGCCCAGAACAGCTCTTCTGCCACTGTGAGTGCTGACCCTGCTGGGGTCTGGGAGTGGGTGGGGGACCAGGGTCTCCCAGCTGACATTTGTGCTCTCTACCAGGGAAACAGAGGTGTATGATGACGTCAGCTTCTGGGGTATGTAGATGCTGCAGGATGGGTTGGAAGGGACCAGACTGACAGCTGGTGGACCACTTGTTTAATGCCTCTATGGAGAGGGGTCACTGGAAGTCACCCCTCCTTGCAGACCCTTTGGAGAGTCAACCATTTCCCCAAGGACAGTAGGGCCCTCAGGTGGGGCCCAGAACAGCCTGCCAGCCCAGCTACCCACTAACCCAGGAGCCTGGATTCCAGTTTGACAGACAGAGCTGCCCAGATGCATGTGTGACCACATAAAGCCTCTCTTTAAAGCTTCCCTGCTTCTTGTATTTTCTTTTCCGTCCTGACTGGCACACACAAGGAAACGTACGTGTGTGTGTGTGTGTGTGTGTCTCCCCCTTCTTCTCTCTGTGAGAGGTCTCACCACCAAATCCTGATCTCACTCCTCAGCTGCCTGCCACAGGAATGGGGAGGGAGCTGGGGAACAAGGTGTACACTGCACTTAACGCCACTCCACACCCCAAAAGGGCAAGTAGCAGATGGAGTCCCTCACGTGCTGCAAATACCTATTTTACCAAGTGGGTCTATGAAAGCACTTCACTGACAGGGGCTCCCAACTCTGACACCATCTCTGTCTCACAGGATAGGCACAAGAAGAGACAGGACAGCTTTCAGAATTGCTCTTATTATCAGCAGCAGTGAACAAAAGATCCCTCAAAATTCAGTTTCCACAGAAGAGTTTTTCTGTGGAAAACAATTGGCCAGGGCCCTTCCCACCCAAGGAACAGATGAGCAATAGCAAAGGTGAGATTCCTGGTGATCATGGGTCAAAGGAAAGAAGGAAGCCTAAGGGGCTCCAGGCCACCAAATTTCAGATGGTTGTCCCCACAACACACACGCAAAAGCAAGCCACTTTCAGGAACTGGTATTTATTATCAAAGTCATATTCGATGTCAACAAGATGCCACAACTACAAAAAAAATTGCGCACATTGCAATCTCAATGCAAACAGTCAAATGGAACCCCAGTCATTAAAAAAGTAATTCAAATTACCCCAAAAAGCAACTGAATTTTTTAAACATCTTTATACATCCAGCCAACAAATTAAAATGGTTAACAAGAAAAAATACAAATTCAGAGGTCTGGTATTGATGTTTAAAAAAGGCAACTGCTTAAGCATTTCTATCGATTCGAACATCAATCTCTCGGCCACTCAGCTTCATGCCATTCATCATCCGGCAGGCTCTCTCAGCCACCTCTGGCGACTCAAACTTAACCACACCGCACCCCTTGGACTTTCCGTTCTCCATCTTGATGTCGGCGTACAGCACGTGGCCTGGCACAGGGAGGGAAGAAGAGACCACACGCATCAGGCAAACCCAGAGCTCAGCCTCAATCTGGGCTCCACTCAGTCCAGATCACCTGTTGGATTTTGGTGACAGAGTCAAAAAGGAAAGAGGCCCTCATGTGTGGAGCACAAATGCTCAGAACACCACGGCCAGAGTCAGTGACAAATGTCCTTTGGCCATGTTGCCATTGTTCTGCTATCAGGACAATTTGATCCAGCACCATGAAAAGCGTTCCTGGGGGTTTAAAGTGCTTGCCTTTTAAGTTCAAAAATAGGAGGAGTCCTGTGAAGCCAACTTGAGAGGAAAATTTTAGAGGCTGTTTTCAATATATCACTACCCTCAGTCACAAAGCCATCATCAATACAATAGATACTTCTAACTGTCCAAATGTAAGCTATATAATAATTAGCGAGCAGATTACACATATTCCTTCAAACACCTATTAAGCACCCCAGGTATGTGTGGAGCACCATGGAAATAGATACAGAGGGTTAAGAGCCCAGAGGCCAAGGCCCACTCCAATGAGGACCAAGGAGATAGCACATTATGGTCAGTGCTAGGGGCCGACAATTTTAAAGCCACCAAATCCACCTGGGGGAAGGAAAACATCCCAGGGAGCTTCTCACAGTAAAGTTCTAAAAGAGTTTTAAGTGGCCAGGTGTGGCATTTGTTTGCACACCTGTAATCCTAGCAGCTCTGGAGGCTGAGGCAGGAGGATCATGAGTTCAAAGCCAGCTTTGGCTATTTAGCAAGGCCCTAAGCAACTCAGTGAGACCCTGTCTCTAAATAAAATATAAAAAAGTGCTGGGGGGGGGCTGGGGTTGTAGCTCAGTGGCAGAGGGCTTGCCTCACACAAGTGAGGCACTGGGTTTGATCCTCAGTACCACATAAAAATGAAAAAATAAAGATATTGTGTCCATGTATAACTAAAAAAATAAAAAGGGCTGAGGATATAGCTCAGTGGTTGAGTGCCCCGGTACCATAAAAAAAAAAAAAAAAAAAAAAAGGTGTTTCAGTGAAAATTCACCAGAAGACAGATTCTGGCCTGTAACAGCTCACACCAGAGCACTTCAGGAGGCAGAGTATTTGTAAGCTCAGGTTCAAGGACAGCAGTGAGATGAAGGTAGGTGCTGGGATCAAGTCCTCCAGGGGCTCGTAAATATTTTTACTAAGAGGTGAGGGGAGTGGCATGATCCAATCTGATTTCTTGAAGTATCTAGATACAGCGTGGAAAAATGCAAAGCAGGGATGGGGGTGGGGTGGGGGACAAGAAAGTAGGCTCTAACTCAACTGCTTACCCCAAAGAACCAGAGAGAAGCAGCAATAATGGTGAGTCGTGACCCACTGCTGAAACCAGAGATGAGAAAAACAAAACAGGCCCTGATCCAGAGCCATCGAACTTGTGGCTTAAGGCTGACCTAGTTTAAAGGACAGGGGTGGGTAGTGGATGGAGGCCGGGGCTCACCCCAAAGAGCAAACTATGAAGATAACTTCTTTCAGCCACAAAGGGGGCCTTCTAGAAGGGTCATCTTGTATGCTAGGAAATTTCCACTAGAGACTTACTGCCACACAAGATGCTAAGTGCCTAGATCTTGCAAGCCTGACCCATGGCACCTACTGAGCACACAAGCGCTTGCTGACACACCAAACCAGCTGTGCTGTGAGAGAAAGCAACCTTGTCTTGGGTGTATTTTATTTAATTTTATCTCTTACAAGTCATGCCACCTTAGAAGGTAGCTTTACCTGACTCATCTGTAAAAAGGGGAAAATACTAGAACCTTTCAAGTACTCTAAATGTTAGCAAAAAGGAAAAAGAAAAGCTAAGGGTTGGGAATATAGCTCAGTTGATAGAGTGCTTGCCTCACATGCCCAAGGCCCTGGGTTCAATCCCCAGCAAGAGACAGACAGAGAGGGAGAGGGAAAGAGAGAGACAGGCAGACAAACACATACCAGGACACTCAATACATGCTTGGGTATCTGCAAAAGCAGAACAATGGCAAGACCCATCAGTCCTCTAGAGCTGATGAGCAGTGGCTGTACAGACTAGAAGGAAGCTATGCTGCTGACATAACAGCACCACTAATAGCCATGGTACAGGAAAGCACCTAGAGAGCCTTTCTCAGACACTTACCACATTCGTTGAATTTGTCCTTTAGCATCTTCCATGTAAAATCAAATGGGAGCTGAGGGGGAAAAAAAAGGTAGACTAATGTGTGATTCAACCAAATCCTAATGCACAAACATCACAATCATCTATGAGGGTTCCTGGGACAAAGGATGCAGCTCAGTGGTAAAGCACTTGCATCACTGGGGAGGAGGCTCCTATATATACACAGAGAAGCTGGCCAAACTCCACACTGATATTGATCAGCAGAGAACAAATAAGTCTATCTAGAATGAGGTTCTGAAGTAGGGCAGCCAGCTCACTCCCTGTGGCCTTATCTCTAGTGTCTGGGAACATCATGCAGGGAGCAGAACATACAGAGCCTGGTGTAAGCAGATTACAGAACTCAACAGTGGCTAAAGGTGGTCAAATCGTTACAAATACTTCAATATATAGCCACCTCTCTCTGAATCACTATACCAAAACACGGGTGCTCCTCAAGCCAAGGGATCGGAAACTAAAATCTTTCAGCTCATAGTCTGCTTGGTCAACAGACACATCAGGAAGCCCAGGCAATTGCAGAACCACTGTTCCTTTGTAAGCCTTCACAATGAATTAGCACCAGACTCTGGGGACAAGAGTAAGGTGTGCTCTCCATGCTGTCCATTGTCTCTTCAGAGGAACACCCGTTACCCTGAGCCCACAAGTCGTCAGTTCACTGAGATCATCCCCTGTGTATAACAACACCAAAGAGTTCCTGAAGAGCCACTTACATTTCTCACAAATATCTGGCAGGCCTTTCTGGCCACCCCAGGAGCATGGCCTCCAGCTCCGCCAAAGGAACCTGCGAAGCTTCCTCCAAAGTTGCCACGTTCCATCTCAATGGCACGATCGAAGCTGGCACCACCGCCACCACCCATGGCAAGGCCCATGCGCTCAATGCCAGCGCCCAGGGCCGGGCCCATCGCTGGGCCCATGCGCTCCAGACTGTTGGCGCCCATTCTCTCCAGGCCCATGCGCTCTAGACTGTTGGCTCCCATGCGCTCTAGGCCCATACGCTCCAGGTTGTTGGCGCCCATTCGCTCCAGGCCAGTGGCCATGCGATCCATCACAGGGCCCATGCGCTCCAGGCCGGCCCCCATACCTGCGGGCACCATGCGCTCCATGCTCAGGCCCATGCGCTCGATGGCAGGGCCCATTCGCTCTACGCCAGAGCCCATGCGCTCAATTGTTTGGCCCACACGGTCGATGGGCGCGGCCATGCGCTCCAGGCCGAAACCCATGCCGGCACCCATGCGCTCGACACCAGAGCCAATGCGCTCCATGGTCTGGCCCATGCGCTCGATGCTGGAGGCCATGTGGTCGAGGCCCAGTGGGCCCATACGCTCGATGCCAGAGCCCATGCGCTCAACGGAGCCCATGCGGTCCATGACCAGGCCCATGCGCTCGATTTCGGAGCCCACTCGATCCATGCCATGGCCCAGGCCTGCGCCCATGCGCTCCATGCCAGCACCCCCAATGCGGTCAATGCCAGGGCCCATCCTTTCGATCCCAGGGACGCTGCCTCCACCTCCACCTTAAACAGGGACACAAAACACAGGAGATGTCAGGTATCTGTGTGTAAACCATGCCACGCCTGGGCACTTCAGTTCACAAGCTTACCCACAGATTAGCAATTTAGCCCCACAGTGATTTAACATTAAAAGACCCCTCAAATCGTAACAGTTACTAAAACTAAGTAACAGGTAATGTGGGGTCCTTATAATCATTCTTCCTGTCCTGTTACAGTTGAAATTTCCATAATAAAATTTAAGAACAACACCCATACCACACAGTTGTTTCTGAGGTGTTAGTGTCTGTGAC